GTGAGGTGAGGGACTGGTTACAGTGCTGTGTAGTGGATAAGTGGGGTGGCAGACAGGCCTGTTGCTCTTGGCAGCAGCTCTGAGCACTGAGATTGGACTGCAGTCTGGAGGGGAAAGTGTATGTGGGTGAAGATGTTGACGTCTAGTAGAGGTTTAAAGCTGTAAAACCGTTGCACACGAATGCATGTGAGTGTTTTAATGTATGTCCAGCTACATAGACAACGTTTGTGTCTAATCTTTGCCACTTTTTGATTTACTGCCGCTGCCCAGGGAGTTAACCTCTGCAGCATGTTGTTTGGTTTTGTGGTTAGCTGGAGAATGCCCAGGCTCCGAGTGTGTCGGTGTGGGCTGGCAGTGGGACCACGGCCTGGCTCACAGCTCAGGGGTAACTGTGTAAATATGTTGTGAAAGTAGCTCGCCTTAAAACGCAGCAAGGACCTCCCAGACTCTTATCCAGTTCTGTGGGGCCCTCCTACCCATTTTTTTTTTTTCCTTTCCTGACATCTGACCAGAAAAATGATGAAAACTAGAACTTCTTCTTTAAGCCTGCTGTCTTGTGTGGAGCTTACAAGGTAAACAGAGCCATTATCAGGTGTCCCTGGGGGATATGGAGAAATAATGAGCATTGGTTTTGTGCTGTTTATTTCATGGTATGTTGCTCTAAGCCTGAGAAAGCGCAAATTTCATGGCACGCTGAGCCCAGCCCCCCTGAGCTGATCAGCAGGGGGGTGCTGCCTGACATCACCTCCAGACCTTACTCTAATCAAAATAAGCCTTTGTTGGTCTTCTTTCGGCTCACGCCTGAAGTATGTGTCTGTGTTAGAGAGAGAAATAGAAAAAGAGGAGGTCTGTGTTCATTTTCAGGTTTTAGCTCCTCGTGCAGCATTTATTCCAATCTGTTTTGTTGTGATGATTTTCAGTTTAGCTTTTGGTCCCGTGCATCATATTTTTCAATTCAGAAGGGGGAACACAATGAACTCGGTCCACCCAGCATGATTGTGGGTCAGATGGAGACAGATGTTTGGCTTGGTGCTCACTGGAGCACTCTCCTGCCCCCATCTGGACACAACCTGAAAATCCAGCAGGGATAAATATGTGGGGGCAAAACAGGGTGAGGCTGTGGACTGAAAGCCCAAAAGATGATGTGACATTTAATGTGGTAAAATGCAGAAACAATAAATCAGGATGAACATTTTACGTTCATCAGTATGCATTTGTTCCTCTCCCTTAATCGAGTTGCGTTACAGTCACCTGTGGATTCGTGAGCGTGTTTTTGCGCTCGCGTGTCTTCAACTGTTTCTTTAACATGAAGTATGTCAAGTGAGGTCGGCCGCTGCTCACAGCCACAGGCGATGGCTTTTCCACCAGAGCTCAACATGAGGAGAGCGTTGGCCAGGAGCAGAGTCATATTTCAACCGAATCCAGGGAGATGCTGACAACGGCAGCCCTGTTATTGTCTGAAAATTCCGCCTTAAGCACCACTCTGATGTGCCACATGATGATCCAGAGTGAAAAATGTCACTGTCCGTTCTCTAAGAGGAAAGCTGATTGCATGTGTTTTATGGTTTCCCCCAGAGATTTGGGTGTGATGCTATAATTCCAGGGTTTTTTTCTTTTTTTTTCCCTACCCCATGGTGTGCTGTGTTTGGGATTGGTTGTCCTTGAGTGTCTGCGTTCGCACGTAATGTTCTATGTCATTCATCTCCTATATGTCGCATGTCAGCTCACCCCGATGTGACTTCTGAGGGGAAGAATAAGCTATAATTTCCTGTTCATTTTGAGTGTAGGTGTTGGGGTTAACCAATCAGCCTTATTACATGCTGAATCCCTGACTCTGCATATACAGTAGTTGCAATGCAATTTCCTGTCATCAAAATATAGCGATGTAGTCGCCATTTACAGTAATGGAGTGAATATCTCATGCTTTTAATGGGTTGCTGGACCGAGTTCGCCGCTCACTGCCAGAATACAAAATGAAAAAAATTAACATTAGCATACAGCTGGGGTACAGTATAGGAATATTTACTGTCTCCTACATCTGTAAAACAGAAGCTTATATAACATTTGGCATCAGAAGCCGTCGAGTGACGTGTGGTGAAAAGTGCAGCTCTGACTCAAAGAAAGGAAATTAGAAGCAGCCTCAGTGGTTGTCACGGTGGATCAAGACCCTGACAACAGTTTTACTGTGAAGGTGTGCAGACTTCGTGTACATTTCACTCACTGTCACTGTCAAATATATATGTCAGAATCAAATATATACTCAGGAAGGCTGCATGTTCCGCACATGGACGAGCATGCATGCATATGCACTGACTGTATGTATGTAAAGTCGTTTATTCTTTACACTTTCAATATTTATTTCAGCACCCTATACACCCTTAGGTCTTGCATTACATTTTTGGAAGAGTCTGACCTGCTGTTTCAACAATGTAAATATCTGTTTACATTGAGAAACACTAAACCTGAGGTCAGATTCATTGTTTTGCCAATAAAAATTAAATTAAATTGTATGAAGTTCAGATTTTTAGCCGATAATGTAAATTATGTTGATTCCCATCACTCTCTATACATCATCAGAATCAGATAACAAAAGAAGCATGAATGTCAGATAAGTATATGACATTAATATTAACATATGTAGTTGTCTGTATTGAATTGTAGCAACAAATTAAATGGGCACTCAACAGATTTTATGTTGTTAAATCAAATTAGTCATCAGGGGGAAGAAAAAACATTTAGGATGTCATAGTCATATCATCAAAGTTATCTCAGATCTGCGTTTTATGACAGGAAATAACAAAGTCTGCATTACCAATTGGTTAGGAGACAGAGAGGATCTAAATAAAGACTGTGAAGCTGCATCATGGGAAAAGTACTTATGGTGTTTGACCCATTCTAAAAAGTCGGAAGAGTCTGCTGCATTGATTTTTCCATTCTGTTTTCTCCTCTAAGTGCAGCTTTAACTTGCTAGAGTGCCCCTCGATGTAAAAAAAAAAAAAAAAAAAAACCTTTCCTTGCCTTTCCAACCGCAAGTGGGTTGGGGTGGGCCCAACTTCCGCCCAACTGGTTTGTTTTTTTTTTATAGCTCAGAACCTTTAACACAGAATCAAACTTCAGGTGGTTGGAATGATCCAACTTGACTGTTGGGAGCCACATTCTCCATCTCATCCCTTTTTTTTTCACCCTCTCATACCATCAGGTGTAGCCATCGTCTTCTTTTCTTGCCTGAGTTAAACCTCGTTGTAAAAGCCCACTTCTCTATCTAGGTATGCACACGCCTCTATCTTTCTCTTTGTACATGCCACACACCGTTAAACACGTTCTGCCGTGATGCGCTTGGTGATGCAAGGATGTTCTGCTTAAATTAGGTATATGAGTAATTATCTCATCTTGGCAAACTTAGGATCGCGCCACTTGCGGCCGTGATCTACCCTGACATTCTTCTGGCTGCTGTGGGAGATGCAGCAAGAGAGGGTGTAGAAAAGAGAAAGAAAAGAACAAGAATGGCATGTGAATAGCAAAGCAATGCTCCAGACGGCAGGGCTGTTTTGTTGTACAGGAGGCTTATTTCTTATTGAGTGTGACCTCATTTCAAACACTGAATTCCCATCATCCCCTTTCAGCGCAGCTGTGACACATGGTTTCGCTAGAATAAGGGAGACAGAGCATCAAACTGATACCAAGTCTCGCCTCCTTACGGATTGCAACTTTAGACAAATGGCTCAGAGGTAGCCATTTGAAAATTTCCTGGGAGCTCAGAGTTCATAGCTGGGAGTAGTGTGTAATGGCTACTCCAGTCCTTGTGTTATGGAAGAAGGGATTTGTTTTTCTGCATCCACCATAAACCCTGCTGATAACATAAGCCAAGGAAGGAGCAGGAAACATCATCTTGCAAAGTGTTTTGCAAGGGTTATTAAAGGATCCGAGACAGGGAGTTCTGTATGGTATGTTGGAGTGCAGCAGTGGGATTGGTGCCTCTCAGTGAACTGTCACTGGTTAGACCACAAATACAATCCATTTCTGTTTGTCAGAAAAAGACAGCAATCCGGGGAGAATTTTAGCTGGAAAGACATGCTGAGGGATTTCAGACTTTTGGCAATTGGACATAATTAAAAACACTTTATCCCCCGTGGCGGTCCGTTCCCATAGTTGCGTCGCTTCACAATTCTCCTGCCCCCTGAAAGTCTATTTGTTTCAGCGAAGTTGACACTGTATTTGATTGATGTGGAATGACATCACTGGGTTTGGAAGTGTGATGGTGACATGTTTGGAGAGATACAATACAGAGTTTTGGTGCCATATGCATTCTGCTCAGAAACATGTGGCAAACACACCCAGCTGCCTATGTAGCCTGGGGATCCTTGTGAGCCTTTGCTTTTTCTCTCTTGTGCTCTCTTGCTCTTTTTTCCATCAATCTCGTTTATTCTGCTTCTTTTGTGAGTTTTCTCTTTGTTATATCTCAGTCTTCTGCTCCTGTTCCACCCCCACACCTCCACTCAGTATATACACACACCTTATTAAGTCAAACGGTCAGCTGTTTCCATCTGCGGGTCTATCTGTACTCCACATGCAAAGCTGATCCGTTTGTCTTTCGGTGCTGCCCTGATGTATTCTGTTTTAAAAAAAACAACACGTTTTGTTGGTGGGTTTCTGTGCAGCTACATACAGTCAGTTGTTCTGCGCTGTCTTCTAACTCCACACTGTTTGCTGTAAGCTTTTTGTCTCACACTCAGATCTGATGCGAAACGGCACTTTTGGATGCCGGACAAAGTTCTTCATCATTTAGTCACTCTGAGATTCCCCCAGCTTGACCTAGTTTCAGAACTGCCTGTTCTGCAGTCGTATCACATGTGCAGATGTTGATGATCTCAGTTTTCCCCACAGGTCACATACAGTCAGATTGCCGCCTCTGTCTCTGTCAATTGTTTGCTTGTTTACTTACATGCGTGTTTACTTTTCGCGACGTCCAATGAATCTCACGACTTCTTACTTCTTTCCAGGGAGACATCCAGCAGCTAATGATTGTAGCAGACCATCGTGCTGCCTATGACTACTGTGAGCACTACAGCCCTGATTGTGAAGTGCCAGTGCCCGACCAGCCCCAGAACCAGGACCCCAACACAGACGAATACGTGAGTAACATGACTTTTCTCCTCTTCACCTTAACATTTGTATTATTCCGGTGTACAAACCTCTGGACTTCAAAGTCATATCATCTTTAATATTAAAATTTGCCAAAAATAAAGTGTTTGGTCTACCCAGATTCTGTAAAAAAAAACAAAAAAACTTTGCTCCTTGGTGCAACTATGAAGCTACGAGTGACTCAGCTGCAAAAACCAGTCACTTCACAAACATTCAGGGACTTTTTGGCTTAACTGGGTTGAACTGTACACTGTGCTTACATAGAGAAGATGGGAGACAAGTATGTAAGAAGTAAAATATCCATAGTATGAAGAGTCACTATTTTTTCTAGCATTTGCAGCAGCTGTGGGCAGCAAATTAGATATTCTAAGAAATTCAATGGTTTTTTTGTTTTTTTTTAAAAGAAGTCTTAACTTCTAGTCATGGTTGGGCTGTTTCCATAGGGGTGCAGGACTATTTTGCTGAGAAAATTAAGCCCACAGAGAGAAAAAAAAATATAATGTCCAAGAACCTGTTTGGGGTTTAGATGGTTAACTTGTAAATCAGAGCTCAAAGTGTATCTTTGCCAACAGAAGGCTGCCCATTACCAGAAGCAGCATACTTAATAATGCTAGACATTGTAGAATCCAGTAAGAGAACCAGCTAGTGTTCCTCTGGCTGACCTTAATCAAAGGAAGTTCAATAATTGTCTCTAATACTCAAATCAGATCTTGGTTGGATCCTGTGCTGAAAAGAGCCTCTTGGCTTATGCAAGAGAACTGCAATCTGCCAGAGGAAAGTGCTGACTGGGAAGAACAGGGTTATCAGGCTATGCAGTTAGTTAATAATGTTCAGGAATGATGTGGTGCCTGCCTAAGCCTGCATTCCTGCACTGTACAGTTTGCTGCGCTGAATGGCAATATGCTGTGTGCATGCTAATTAAAGGCGTGTCAGAGAAGTGCTACAAGATGAGCAGGAAGCTCTTCCTCTTGACCTTTCGCTTCGCCCCGGAGCCTGAAGGTACACAGAAATTTGGCCTGATTTTTCCTTCCCCTCTGAAGATGGGTGACAGACTCATTAAGAAAACTGTGGAAATGCAATTTGTCACTCAGTCGTTGCAAGTTACAACAGGGAGATGCAGCGTGAGGTTTCCTCGAATAAAAGGCTTTCCTGTGCGCTTCTGATCGATGGCCAGCCTGTCGTACATCCATCAGTCAGCCAGAAGCAACACAGCAGTGGATCATATTTAAAAAGCATGTTGTTAATAATTAATTGTTATTCTTTCCCTCCCTCGGTCACACTCTTGCTCAATGTCATGTGATGTTTTTTTTTTTTTTCCTTTAGCACACAGAGGAGGACAACTACTATTATGAATACCCTTACTATGAGGACATGGACGGCAAGCCGTACGAATCAACTCCTGATACTGAGACAACCACAAAAGAAGTCAAGGTATTCTATTTCTGAGTAGAATCAAGCATCGTCTTAATATTACAAATGCACCAAGTAACAACGTCCACTTTGGCACTGCAGGTGACAGACGGAGACAGTGTGGTGACCACAGTGGAGGAGATTTTGAGAGGTGGTACCGGCACAGGTGGCGCCGCCGGCAAAGTCTTGACCTCTGTCTCCAGCAGCTCATCATCTGGCGGCGCATCCTCAAGCTCATCCTCAAGCTCATCCAGCGGCTCATCCGGCAGCTCGTCCAGCAGCTCGTCCAGCAGCTCGTCCAGCAGCTCCTCAACGGGCTCTTCAGGCACCGCCACTGCAGGAGGAGACGCCTATGGAGAGGAAACCAGCCCCTACGACGGCTACGACGGCTACGAGACCAACTACGCCTACTACGATGAGGTCACGGCCGCACCGGACGGCGACACATCTCGACGTGTCACCATTACCGACATCGGCACCGGAGGCACCCTGGACCTGGGAGCAGGCGGGAAGATCGACTTGGGTGCGGGGACGGTCGAAAGGAAGGTCATCACCAGCGGCGGAGGAGGAACTTCGATCACAATCACAAGCAATAAAACAACAGTAGGTTGACAGTAATCACCTCAGTTAATTGTTGTTTGTTCGATAGAAATCTGATTTGCTTTTTATCCACTCTGCTCATTTGTGTGGGAAACACAAGCAGTTAATTATTTTGTCCCTGTTGTGTTATAAACCAGCGGTCCTCATGGGTGAAGCAAAGCTGAAATAGATACACATTAAAAGTGCCTTCATGAATTAATGCTTTTAAAGATATATCCAGTGCTGCAGCTTTGGTGAACAAAACAACATTCATCAGCAACTTTTTGATAGCAAATTAATCATGGAAGTAATTTTTCATGTTCCATTTCCTACATTGTCTTATGTGATAATCAACTCAATGTCTTTGGTTTTTGGACTGTTGGTTGGGCCAAACAAGACAATACTTTTTTTTTTCTTCCATTTTATGGATTAAGCAATCAGTTAATTGAAAGCAGAGTTATAGAGAATGAGAATAATCATCACTTGCGGTTCTTATATGCTACATGGAAGGACACATTTAGCTTTTACAGTGCATCTCTCCCATTGTCACCTGTGTTGTGAATGTTCTGTATGCAAAATATTTAACAGTATTGTCTCCATTTATCCAGTTATATTGTATCTTATTGACTATATCTGTGTTTCTGTAGGTTGGAAGTTCCTACGACGACTATGGCGACGGATATGATTACGGTGTAGACAGCCACTACAGCACCGGTGGAGGCGGTGGCAGCAGCAGCAGCAGTACAGTTCACGTTAGTGGTGGAGGCGGTGGCAGCAGCAGCAGTTCCACCATCACCATCGGGGGCGGGTCTGCCGGAGGAAGTTCTGTGTCCGTTGGAGGTGGTTCCGTGTCCACTGGAGGTGGTTCTGTGTCCGTCGGAGGTGGTTCTGTATCTGTAGGAGGCTCTTCCACCTCTGGGGGTGGATCGGCCAGCGCTGGCACCGGAACCGGCGGGTCTGTCGCCACCGGCACCGACCTAAGCGTGGACGGGATTGGCGACTACACAGATCTTGATGCCTTTAAGGAGGACACCATCGATTACACCGACTTAGATGGCTACGACGCCTACACAGACCTGGATTACAGCGACAAAGATGGCAAAGTGCTACCCGCTGAGACCAATGAGTACTATGGACAGGTGAAGGACATGCTGCCCCAGACATGATCTTGACGATGAGGACGATTGCATGATGAGGGTTACGAAGAGGAGGGGGGCTGATCTTGTTTGTGTCTGTGTGTTTGCCTTGTAGGTCGACGGAGCTCGTGGTGAGAAAGGACAGAAGGGAGAGCCTGCTGTTATTGAGCCTGTGAGTATCACTATTTAAACAACAAATTTGAGCAGCAGATGTAGGCTGCACGTGTGCACATGGGTACACGCGAGTACATATGTGTGATCGACATCTAAATACAATCCATCCATTGTTTCTGAATGAGAATTAGGGGGCCAGTCACAGCCATTAGGGTCCAGCAGACCATTGTCATAGTATCCCTGGACAAGGCCTTGTTCCTGGCTGTTCATCAGGACTGCAGCATAAACATTTGGAGAACAGCCATGCAGGGATTGTCAATAATCTCTAAACACAGTGTGGGTAGTGTGTAAACACAGGGGGAGATGGAGGGAGGGAAGGAACACAAGGAAGAACAAAAGGGAGTAAGAAAGACTTCTCCTGCTTCTCTGCCAAAAAAATGATGTCTAATTACAAACAGGTGGAAGCAAACAACCCAGATTCAGATACTCTTATAAATGAGGATGACTCCTCCTTTATGTTTGCAGATGTACATGAGGCTCAGAAGGAATTTCTATCGCTAATACAACCACAGCTGTTTCATTTCAAACAAATGTCACCCGGCTCCACTAAGTATACATGCCTCTGTGACTGAGTGTCTTTGTGTTTACACGTGAGAGCAGAAAGCAGAGTGTGTTTTTGAATCCATTTCCTCGATGACGCCTTGTGGACGCGCCTGTGTAAGCATGTTCCAGGACGCATTACCATCCAGTCTGAGCACACATCACCACCCGGCGTCTTTTCTCTCCTGTAAACGTGCAAAAAGTGACGATGAACAATACACACACTTTACCAGTATGCACACTGTAGGTGAGACAAAGATATAACCCACAGAGTGTCAAAGACAAAAATGCTTCAAAGCTACAGCTTAGGGGTTAAACCTTGAAGAATGAGTGGGTTTCTGCCCTCATAAAAGAGAAAGCCAAATTGTTACCGCAAAAGCAAACAAACAAGGCAAAATCTGTGTAGCTGCAGAGCTGCACAACATAATCTGAGTTAGATGCTCAGTAGTCCGCACCAAACGTTGCTGGGCATATTTGCCTGTACAGGTTTATAAATACACAAGAATAATTCTTACTTTGCAAAGCAACTCGACTCTTGCAAAATCACGAGAATCCATTCTGCCAGGCTTCAAGCTATGTACTTGTGACAGATCCACAGACCTTGAGGAAATACTGACAGCTACATGTGTTTCATGCCGAGAAACCATGTACATTTTCAGGAACAGTGTGGACGTACAAACAGGGAGAATCGTTTAGACAAAGACGCTTACATTTGCCTCCGACTTGGGTCTTATTTGAAAGAGCGCGCCTTTCTCTACCACATAACTCGACAGCTGAGCAACCAGCTTCTGTTTCCGCTTTACACTGGCACATTGAAAATTATTTCTGTGACGCTTATCTACACGGAGATCTTTTTTTTTTTTTTTAAATACTGTAATAAAATGAAAAGCGTGGACGTAGCCTTAGGTGTGAATTGCCCCGTGATAGACAGATGGTTCATCCAATCACCTTCCAAGTCTTTTTTTGTTTGCATGACCAGTTTCCAAGGATAACTTCTCAGATGGTTCTGAACCATCTGGCGCGTCGAGTTAGAATAATTTCATGCTATCATTAGATTTATTTCAAAGCACAGACACTTGCACAAACTGGTCCCATGTTGCACGCATGATCAAAGAGCACAGTCGCCAGTAGGAACATGTTAATTATTTCTTCGATTCATTTAGATCTGATTAGGAGCTTCCCCTAGCTTGTCCAGGTAGAGGAACACCTCAGGGCGTCCTTGCATTTGTTTGCAGCCTCCTGTTCTCCTTGGAATAATTGCAAGCTCACCTGAAATGACAAGCAGGAATGTACATTAAGATAGCAAAGGTGGAAGCTCTATAGGGGCATGTTGGGGCGTGCTGTCATGTATATTTAACTCTTTTAACCAAAGCTGTGCATTATTAGATTTGCTTAGGAGTGCACCACGTGACATGTGCTCATGAGAACGTTGTGTTGACTCCGGTGGTGTCTGATGATATCTGCGTTTGTGTGTTTCAGGGAATGTTGGTGGAGGGTCCGCCTGGGCCTGAGGGGCCAACAGTAAGTCAATCTGTCTCAAACTCTGTCACTTTCTCCCTCTGGACTTCCTTCTTTTTGCCTCTCAATCACTGCATTTGTCTTGACAATGTGTTGGTAAAGTAAAGCTGATAAAGGTTTAGGTCACCCATTTTATGCTTGTCTGCACAGCAATAAAAGTCAAGTTTTAATAGTTTGCTGTGAGAATCACTGCCTCCCAATGCAAAAGGAGTGGCTAGAAAAGTTCCCCTGAAGAGTCATAGACGTGATCAGATGTTGTAAAACTTAATTATTTATTTAGGCAGAAGTTTTTTTCGGACCAGTTTGTGTTGACACCCTGCAGATGGAGTCCTCCCGAGGCCAGCCATTTGAGCGCTGAGCTACAGTATAGACAAATAAAACACACCTCGCAAAGAATTTACAACTCGCCAAGCTGTCCCGTATTACTGCATGCATTCCTTTCCCCTATGGGTGAACACTTTGTGAGATGAAGGCGAGAACTTTACATTGTCTTATGCATCTGAGGAGTCAAATAAGCTCTTCTGTTGAAAATAGGGTCTGCCCGGACCCCCAGGTTCTTCTGGCCCACCAGGCAGCCCTGGAGATTCTGGAGAGAGGGTGAGCAGAGCTTCCTATACGTCATACAGATTTTCAGAGCTGTACAAATACACAAAACAAATTTCTGACTGTACGCTTGTGCTCACATGTGCGTTATTTTCCATTTCAGGGACCTCCGGGTCGTCCTGGTCTTCCCGGTGCTGATGGTCTGCCAGGACCCCCTGGAACTGTCCTGATGCTGCCTGTAAGTAAATAACAGTTGTTAAAAAGAAGAGTGAAAAGCAGTGCAAATATTGGAAAGGCTGTCTTTTTTCCATGTTTAGCGCTTTCCATGGCTTTGTATTCTTGTTTAGTCTTGTTGAAAGCCAAGTATGATGCATCTTTCTGTTTTATCAATAACCCTGACACGTGTTTTACACAGTGTACTGGAGGGAAGGGGATTTCCTATGAACCCTTTTTTTTTTTTTTTTGGATGGACCATACAAATATTTAGTGATTTAAATCTGTGCTTTAGCAACCCCTTGTGGTATGTTAAGTAAGTGTCACCTGTTGTCCTCACTCAGCGGTTTTTAACTCCATCAAGTCAAATCTTCGTTTCGTAAGACTTTCTCCACTTATGTATTTTTTGACTTATTCCACATTCTTTAGCGAAAATTTAAGCTATCGGGTGTCTTTGGAGGAAGTCGTCTGGCTTTAGGCAGGAAGCAAAGCAACGCAAGTGAGTCCTCCCTGTAGCTTCAGCTGCGTCCAATGATTCAACTGCAGCAGCTATTCTAACAACTTCCTACCATGTCTACCTTCCTTGTTTTCTTTTCCCTGTTCTTGGAAGATGTCTCACACTGCCGCTGTTGGACCTGATTAGTTGTACAGATGTGAAGTTGTGGTTTCAGGGGTCCGCAAAGCTTTTCTGGCTGAACCATGTGGCAAGCTCTGTCTGGAGAGTTTTTCTGGTGTATCCACAAAAAAAAAGACGACTTGAAATCTAATCCTTGAGCTCCAAGTCTAATGAGAAACATGCATTGTTGTTTCACCCTTGTTTCACTGGAGGACTGTTAGGCTTTGTTGTGTTGAAATAGTGAAGAAACATGATAAGGATTGATGGCACATCTTAACACGAGAGATTCATCTTCTCTTTATCATCTGCTGTGAGTTGGAGCTGTGTGAACACGATAATGTAGTTCCCATGTACTTTTTTTCTGAATCTTGGCCTTTTAATCAATAGTTTAATGCATCAGAACATTTTGTTCAAAGTTTGATGGGGGTTAAGCCTAAGCTTAACCAACATCGGTAAAGAGAGGACTATTGGAGGAATGACATAAAGCAAAAGAGAGAGATTCAGGCCAACGGGCTCATGGATTGGCAAGGGGGAAAAAATGCGACGACAGCGAAGGGAAGTTCCAATGCTTAATCAAAATCAGCAGAAAATTAAACAGAAGAAGAAACTGTGGGATTTGCACTGCAGTTGTGAAAATGTGCCGTGGAGAAACGTTGTTTATGGTGGCTGAGCTGCAGTAGATCTGACTCAGCCCTGATGTTCTGAATCAACTGTTTATATTTTTGCTTCTTGGTAACAATATCTGTGTGATTTTGAAATCCTGCTCAGTATTTCAGCGATTGTGTCGCTGAGCATCTGTAGCCCAACCGACTGTCAGCCTCCTGAGAACTGTACCATGTAATCCAACCCAGGATGTCTGGCCCAAACAAACCCGAGTTGCACCACAAGCCTGGATATTCACCATTACTGTAATACGGGCTTATCACCACCAGATGGCAGTAGAATCAGAACCTCAGCAAAACCCTCAGTGCTGGTTCGACAGCTGGAGGCGGATGCTCACTTCAGCATCTGTTGCATAGTTTCAGAATTAATACACTGTACTAAAGAAATATTGATGATATTTTTGGGAATATACAAGAACTAAAATATTTATTCTGCTGCAAGCCAGTGTTTTTTCTCATTCCAAATGTTTCTCTGGGTTTTCAGTAAGTGCTTTGGGTGTAGCGGTGTCGTCTTTACCGGAGTTAAATCTCACCAATCTGTCATTCCCTCCATAGTTCAGGATGAGCGCTGGAGGTGACTCTGGACAGAAGGGACCTGCTGTATCAGCACAGGAGGCCCAGATGCAAGCCATCATGCAGCAGGCCAGGGTAACAGTTCACCCCTAAGCATGCCATCAGACTGCAGTAGTCAGTTTTATGCAGCTTGTGTTGAAATGTCTTATTTTTCTCATGATTTTATTAATGCTTAGATGTTTTATTTCTTATTTGCCATTTTTGCGATAATCTTTCCTGCTAAGATCTAGTATTCAGATTTTGTTTTTTTCATTTTAAACTGCTTTCATGTGTCTCTCTGCATTCGTACCTTGTTTTTGCACGTTTGATATCATGAGTTGCTTGCAAGCACGTACAATATAATTCATATCCACATTTACATGCAGAACGCATGAACACACACAAATACACTTCCAGCATACACAAATTTAAACAGCTAAGTCCGTGATAGTGAAATCATATTTTCTGCATTTTCTGCATCTTTGTTTTCATCTTGTTTCGATTTCTTCCCTCTCTGTGTTCAGCTGGCGATGCGCGGCCCTACAGGTCCTATGGGTTTGACTGGCAGACCGGGCCCTCTGGTATGTATCCTGAATCAGCTCACAGACTCAAAATCGATCGGAATTTCATGTGAGCAAAATTGGATCAGCAGTTACTGTAGTGCACAGTACACAAAATAAATATAACAGTTTGTAGCTGTGTTGGAAACCTGAATTTGTTTAGTGCCTATAAATTCTGAGTCTCTATTTTTCTTCCAAGGGTCCTCCTGGTGTACCAGGACTGAAGGGAGAGTCTGGAGAAGCGGGACCTCAGGTACTTTTTAAGTTCTCTTTCTGTTCAATTAAATCTGAGCAGCCTCATGTGTTAACCTAAAATAATGTTTAACTAGCATGGTGTTACATTAGTCTTAGCAAATATGTAGAGAAATGTGCAACTGTGCTTGTTTTATTGATATTTTCAAGATAATCTCAGAGGTAACAAAAATGTATGTGTGTGTAACAGAAGTGTTTTTGTTTTAGGGACCACGTGGACCTCTGGGATCCCCAGGACCCTCTGGAAAGCCTGGCAGAAGGGTAAGTTTTCAGCCAAGTTGTCATCAGCAATATCAGAGACTGTTTATATGCATATTTTAGTGTTGATTTTTGAATGAAAAGTCAGGAACATTCTGTTCCTCTTGCTTTGTGATCCTCCTGATGTGATGAGCAACTGCTGTGGTTTTTACAGGGTCGTTCTGGAGCTGATGGTGCCAGAGGTATGCCAGGACAGACCGGACCCAAGGTGTGTTGTCTCCTCTATAAATAATGCACTTCAATGCACCATTTTTTTACAATACCAGTCTAAAAGTGTGTTTTTGAAGCCTGTGCAAGAGGCACTGAAGTTTTTTGTTTTTTTTTGCTCTTCAGGGAGACAGAGGGTTCGATGGTCTGGCTGGACTTCCTGGTGAAAAAGGACACAGAGTAAGTCGTTTTGTGAGCCTGTGCATAGTGTGTATTTGTTCTAATAGGAATTGTTGTTAAACTGATTAATGTTTGCCTTCATAGGGTGAACCCGGTCCCTCTGGACCTCCTGGTGCTCCTGGAGAGGATGGAGAGAGGGTAAGCCAAAAAGATTTCACACCTTCCACTTCATTTTGTTCTATCAGCCTGAGGGGGATAGATCTGATGGATCTCGTCCCAAAGCCGTATTTGTTATGCAGCTGCAGAAAGACAGATATTACTCCTGAGTTGAACTTCTCCCTCTTAACAAACTCACCTTTTTGTCACCATTTGAATTTGACATCCAATTCGTCTCCCCATTTCCTCTTTCTCGCTGAATTTTCTCCGTAATATTTCTCGTATCTCTGCACATCTTTATCTTCTTCTAATCTCCCTCTCCTTCCTCATTACCGACAGCTGATGCAATCTGATCCCCTCTTCCCCTCCTTTTTCTTTGTGTCTTCCCATTATCTCTCAATCTCCATAACAGACACACACACACACACACACACACACACACACACACACACACTTTTACCTCCATTATCATTCACTGCGTGTCCCACAGTCTGACCTGTTCTGTCTCTTTCCCAGGGAGATGATGGAGAGATCGGACCCAGGGGACTTCCTGGTGAACCAGTGAGTGATCACACGTATTACCATTCAGTCTTTCAGTGAGAGATTGTACGATGGAGTCGAGAGCTTAGGGCCTGCTGTCATCGTGTTATTGTGTTAGCGAACAATCATATGGTCTGATGATATCATATATCATCTGCAGACTGCACTCACTGTTCATATCCATATAAATTGGGATTTTTAGCTCTACATTGCAGCAAAGTGTGTGTTGATCAGGCTTTGCTAGTGCCTCATTTGTACAAGAGAATCTTTGGAGGTGAGAAAAAGCAGGCAGCGCACATCAAGCTTGTTATAATAGCCTCCCACTCTCAAGCAGGATATTCCCTATGGAGGGGGGGGGAAAGACAGGGAAGGAGAAACCATTAGAAAGCCCTTGACATCTCCTGTTATGATTTATTTTGTCCACCAGGGTGTGCTACCTTGGTTTGAATTCACACTGGCAGGACAATATGTCTAGTTAGGTAACTGTAGCTGTGAGGCATAGCATAAAAATTCAAAGCATTGTTTGATAGGCATAGCTGTGGGGAATGAAAGTGTAGTAAAGAAAAAAAAAAGATGAGATTTGAGCTTTTCCCTCACAATCTGACTCTGTAGAATATCCTCAAGGACATTTGGGAAGTGAGGTTATTTCCAGGAGTATGATTTTGAAACTTGATTTAGCTGAACATGTTAAATAATTCATCAGACCTTTCACAGGTGTGGTATCGTTCTTAATCTTGTTTCTTTGCCTTTTTTTCTCTCCTTCTTGTTCTAGGGGCCCCGTGGTTTGTTGGGACCAAAAGGACCTCAGGGACCTCCTGGACCACCTGTGAGTTCCCTGTACCCTCCTCTCATCTTTTTCATATCCACACTGTTAGGATAGATTTACTGTTTAGAGAGCTGGATCCATATTTCATCGTCTTATATGCAACAGGAACAAAAGACGCTGCAAACAACACCCGCAGGGAAATACAAGAGTCAATATATCTCAGACAGAATATACAAAAAGTAGTGTATGTTATTGAGTTTAACTTTGGCATTTCAGACGAATGTCTACAGTGGAGTAGAGTTTACACCTAGTGTTTGCATTGTGTCAGCGGATTTAATTGAACACGGACAGGCAGCAGTAATGAACTCGCATATTTTAAATCCTGGAAACAACAAATTACATGCTAAAGTGCAGTGCAGATGCAACTTCATAGGTTACAAATCTCTTCAGCTATGAGTGTTATTTAATCCTCTAAACCCTAAGCTGGTTCTAGGTGGGGTTTTCTTGGGGTTTTTTTTTTGCCCCAGACACATTTTTTACTCACTGTGGGCTCATTTTCACTGCAGTACAAAGTCCAGCACCTCCAAGGAAACAGCAAAACCATGACTGGAAGGAGAGAGACCTACTATTTCTTTTTTTTGTGTGTGTATGTAGTATAACAATTTAAAATGCCATAAATCATGCTATACACATCAACTATAGTAAGATATTTGACCATGTTGAATGTATCTTCCAACATGGTGCTGACACTTTGCTCCTCTTTGCACTGGTCCTGATCAATGTTGCGTTCATTTTATTGATCAGGCATGATGTGTCTTTTTAATTCAGTTCAAAATCTCCCATTTGCTCTCTGTAAGTACAGCAGATAAAACAAAAGAATTTTTGTCATGTCACTGTTGGTTTCACTGGAGTCATTTGTTGATTTTCAATTGTGTTGAAGAGTGCAGAATTTTTAGATTTTTACAGAATCTCTACAAGAATTTCCTTTTTTTTTTTTTAAGCGAGATGTATAAAATCTAATGAATTTGATTAAATACTGCAGTTTGGAATTCTAGATGACTAATTTAAGGATTTTCAGAAAGTTAAACTCTCATGTTTCTCTTAGTTTCCACTCTCAGATAAACCCGACAGGTTTTCAGAGCATTAAGAACTAAAAGTCCACCTTAGATACGATCCATTTCCGTGTATTACAGATTTGCTGCCCTTCCCCTTTATTTGTGGCTAATGATCTGTTCTTCTCGTCTGCTGTAGGGTGTTACTGGAATGGATGGCCACCCTGGACCCAAAGGAAACATCGTAAGTAAAGATGGAATTGATTAAACTGCTAATATGCAGAATCCGCTACCAATACAGACAACGACTATTGCACAATGACAGCTATTGCACAATGGCAAAAAATGAATCTCTTTAGCTTTATTTCACCCTCAGAGTCCATGTTCTGGCCTCAGGAGCCCTCTCTCACTCTTTGTCTCACACACAAACACACAGCAGTGCAATCAGAGGATACGACGTAATGAAGAATAGACCGCCTGTGTTTAGATCTATTTGAGCAGTCCACCATGGCCAGTTGTACCATTCCAGCTCAATTTCTGGTAGCGCCTGGACCATAATGAGAGAATATCTAACTTGAGCAGATTGTCTGTTCTGTTGGGAACAATCCAACAAGGTAGAGATTGAAGATCAACAACTTTCCCAGACTCTTGGACTGTGGCAACATTTTGGATTGCCAGTTATCACAGAGCGAAGGTGTTTTGTGCCTGCAGTTCAGCACTTTCTTTCATTAGGAAAGCGAGCGTGAGGATGTGTGGTGTGAGTCTGTGCCAGAGCAAGATATTGTGCTATTTGTCCAAAAATTATGGTTTGTTTTGGTCTAAGAAAGTAATAATGCACTGATGCACTTTGGACATCTTCTAACTTATATCTGTTGAGAGCAACATTTCACTTTTAGTGGACCACATGGAGCAACAAATCACTCTTATATCTACATTGGCCGCTTCACTCAAGTAAATCAAGTTATCAATCTTTCTGTTTATAATGAGATTTCTAAAATTAGCATCTTTTTTTTTTTTTTCCAGGGACCTCAAGGAGAGCCAGGACCTCCCGGACAGCAAGGCAACCCAGGCGCCCAGGTGAGTGATGAACAGGTCGTCTGACATTCGATTTTTTTCCCCCCTTCATCCATGAAATAAAATGTTCTGAGCATTTTGCATCGTCTTCCACAGGGACTTCCAGGGCCTCAAGGAGCCATCGGACCTCCAGGAGAAAAGGTGAGATATCACATGATTGCTGAATGTAACTATAACACATTGTTGAACTTCACCACTGCTAGCCTGATAAAATGTTAATAAATCCAGGCCCAGAAACTATAAAATTGCAGGAAATTGTCTCATTCATTTGCATGTGCAAAGAGCCAAGTAGCTATCTTATTCAGTTCCAAATGCTTATCACACTATTATGCATCCCCATCCCCAGCACAGGACCAAATATTGCCTGCTAGACGTTACAGACAGATTTTAATCCTGATGCATTTTAATCCAATTTCAGCTAAATCACATTTCCCAGCTTATGTGGAGGATATTCAGGGTATTGTTGAACAGTTGGAATTTGAAATGAAAAATGTAGGCATTATGTTTGATTTTATTCTAGAAGAAATATTAGAGTACTCTGGTACTGGTATTATACTGGTTTTTGTTGAAATACAATAAAATACAATATAGACTAAGTACTAGGTCATTAGATGATTTTGGTTCAAGAAGGATATTTAAGCGAACGGTCCGACAGACTTGAAGTCAATACGTCAATAAACCTTTGACACTCAGCCACACTACAGAGCCAAATATAGACAACTGGGGGGCATTTGCATGTTTAAGTAAAACTGGTCCAGAATTTAGAAGCTTATGAGAGAAATGAAAAACAAGGAACAATATGTACGATAGCTCTTCTTCCAGTGCCACCATTAAGTTCACATTTGTAGTTTTAGTTTAAAATGACTGTACGGGCTTCAGCTGTTAGCCATGTTTGGTGCCAATGAACAAATATTAGCTTGCTTACACTCCACTTACCAAAAATTGTGAACTGAGATGGGTACTATGAAATAAGTTCAACATAGCCAGGCATTTTTTTGCTTTAGCTGGCTCGCCCAAACCCCCAAACCCCAATCAGATACGATGTTATTACAATGGTTGTCTTCATGATGCTTCTTTTCGTACAAAGAGGACCGATTGTGTGCCGACTTATGTGAAAAGGACTAGGTTGTTATAATAGAGGGCTATTACTGATATAAAAACACTTTTCATGATGCAAGAGAGAATGCTAGTAGAAAACTGTTCATCATGCAAGTTAATATATTTGTCTTTCCGCTCAGTGCACTCTCCGCTTTACACATGACAGTGCGTAAACTTAATTAATATATGTAAACATAATACTCAGGAACTGCATTTAGGTGTGACACTGTCCCATCATGAAGGATGAGTAGAAATCACATCACCATGACTTTTCATCAACCTTAAAAATCACACAAACCCTGTGCTGGGTTGGTGATAGATGTCTTCCCCTGCGATGGGAGGAGAGACAATGTCCAGCATCTTTCTCATAGAGAGAGGAACAAGAGCGACAGGTTGTTTATAGAGTGGCAGTAAATGCAAAACTCTTTTCCTATTGGGTTGTTTCGAATGGTTGAACCCAAAGTAATGTCTCCATTCAGTGTAAGAAACACTCTTTCTTTCCAAAGATAAAACAGCTTCCTGGAAATGAAAAGACATCCACTTAAAAGGACCTGGAGGCTCTTTGACCAAACCAGTACCTCTAAGTCTTCATTCCATGAGTTGAGAAATGAGTTTCATCTCAACTCCCCGTTTCCGAGCCGACTCATGCCTCCCATTACTGAAAGCAGTGTCAGTTTGTAACCCTGAAAAACAGAAGCATTTCTTTCCCTGATAATCAGCAAACACGTGAGAAAGTGATCATGAATAAAAGATTTCTGATGATTAAAGATGATTAACATAGAAATAAATACCTAAGAGTTGATTATATATTTTGCTTTCACCATATTCTACCTGATAAATACCAGTAGACTTTTCAGTTTTTAAATGCGTGTTTGCACTATACCAGCAGTTTAAAACAGACTTTACAGAAAATCTGGACCAAACATTAAAACATATTGATGCATTTTCTGCATCTCCAACTGAAAACATGTTCCAGTGGAAATGTGAACACACTGTTTGCGCTACTCTAACTGCACAGCTTTGTTCAGCTGCAATCTTAATGAACAGTTCAGCAGGTTGGCATGTATAATGTAGTCCCTAGGATGAGAATCTGTGTAACCCATGGAGAGGAACCGGTGAAGGGGCGGCACTTCCTACAAACTTTGAGTAGAATCTCATCCGAAGCAGATTGGGTGTGCAGCACAAGTTATGGTGGTGATTTAGCCGCTTTAGCTCTGACATACCTCGCTAACCCATTAATTTGTACTTCGCAGCGCACCTCCCGAACATTATATCTGCTGTAACATTAAACTGATGCACTCATATTAACGTTTTGTTGTCTGTCTAGGGTCCCACTGGGAAGCCAGGTTTGCCAGGAATGCCAGGAGCTGATGGTCCACCGGTGAGTTTATGTCACGCACACCCAGAAGAAAATTCTGCCTCTATCGCTCTCTGATTGCTTTTGGAAGTATTTCTGTTTAGTATAACCGTAATATTGATCAATATTTTCGAAGCAATACCTCAGATTTGAACGTTTAAATGACGTTTAACACATACTAAACACATTAGGATAATTACTTGTGTGAAACATATGTGTGATGCAACACTTGCCACAGCTGTGTAACAGCAGAACAACACGCCCACACACACACGTTTATATATATATATATAGACACACCTAGACACGTCTACTTACATGTGCAAACATTTTCTTGCCGAGCAGCATACAGGCAGCACAGAAGACACCTTCACTAATGGCAGATGTTTGTTGGAAGGCACCAGGTGGCACCTAAGAGAAATGGAGACAAAAGAGGCTGTGTGCTTTGAATAACTGCAGGGCAACAAAATTACGCAGGGAGAGTAAAAAATGAGGGATCCGGTGAAGGAGGGCAAAGACAGATAGAGGAGAGCTCTTACAATACAATGTCCTCTGGTCCTTTTAATGTTTTCCTTTTTCAGAGCAGCAATATTCCCCCTTCCATTTACACACTCAGCTCTTTTTATTCATCCATTTGTTGCATATACCATCAACCGCATTATTCCCGCTCCCAGTGCTCCCCTCCCTGCCCCTAATTTCTTCCCTCTTTACAAAAAATCTATTTCCTTCTCCATCCTCACGTCACTAAAAACCCATCAGAGCATTTGCAAAGCTCCTTTGTCTCATGAGAATGCAATCAATTTCCTCCCAGTCTTTTTTCTTTTTTTCATTTTTTTTTTTTTTACTGGACATCCATGTGTGTATTAGATGAGTGTTTTTGTGACTTCTGCATTGTGTTTACGTGTACACTTGCATGTATAGTATGCGTGCAATGTATTATGAAGTCCCAAAACGGCAGTCTTGGCTTTTAGAGCCTAGTAATAGCTGGTAGTGCCTCCGTAATACTCTACATTAAGGATAAAAATCGCAAATGAGATTGAACTCTAAAGACCTTTTTTTTCTTTTTTCTTTTTTGCAATTTTCCAGTTTGATACGTCCTCCAATAGTTTTACAACCTAATCCCTCCATTGTGGGAGCGTTGTAGTATTTATGGTGATAATTATCCTGAAATGATACCGAATAATATTACTCCTAATAATTCACAGGGTCACCCTGGAAAAGAGGGGCCTCCTGGAGAGAAAGGACACATGGTGAGTATTCTCTTCTATTTCACCTACTCTAGCTTCCATTTGTTCTTTTTACATTTATATATGCTCTTCTGAGTTTTCTTTTTTCCACTCCTGTTGTCCTAATTTAGACACATTTGCATATAATGTTTTGCATTAATGTAGATAAGGTTAGTGCTGTGTGTGCAAGCATGTATTGTAATTTGTGTGTACTACAAGCTCTCATCAAACATCTGTCTTTCCAGGGCCCCGCCGGCCCTCAAGGACCCATTGGTTATCCTGGGCCCCGAGGCGTGAAGGTGAGTTGATTATCAACCACTAGGAAATGTATTTTTGCCATTATTATTTTCTAGTGCTTAGCAATTACCAAGTGTTATGGGCTAATGGTTTCCCATTATCTTATTAGAGTGGCTCTAAAAAAAAAGATTATCATTGTTATTATTTTCAACGTTTGTCCAACCAAGTGTGATTTTATAAAAAGCTTAATTACATTCCCTTAAAAAAATAAATTTAGTGGTATCTGCGCTCGTCACACAGACAAAAACAGGATTTTAGTGGTGCAAAGACTAAGACGGCAAAGCCGTACTTCACACAAGGTAGCACTCAGGTTAGTCACAGGGGCTGGTAACGGCTTAAAGCCGGCGGCCCTCGTCTTGTTTGGTGTCATTAGTAGCTGATAAAACCCAGACCAAAGAAATCCCATCAAATAATTCTTGGTGAGAGGGTGTGACTGATCCAATCATTAAAGCTTCCACCAAGATAGAGGATCACACAAGTGGTTTGACTCGCAGCTAACGGGTCCCCTTGTTAGGCGGCTAAAGTCTGCTCTCTGGGAAGATGAGACGAATGGGCAGGGAGGGAAGAACTATGAGGATTTTCTTTTCTAAAGCGGCAACAAAACACAAACGCATCCATCGAGTGGCATATCCTCCCTGCCACACTTGTTAGACACAAAACAAAACCGGGGATGACGTTTGTGACTGAAGCGGCCCCGTTTCAGAAGTCATCACGCTGGTGGTGAATATCCTCCTGTCATGGTGAATGCTTTGCAATTCAATCCCCCCCTTCTCCTCTGTCCAGTCTGCACCCTTCTGGCCTGTAATATCTGCCTTTTCTTGCGTCACAGGGAGCTGATGGTGTCCGCGGCCTTAAAGGAAACAAGGGTGAAAAGGTAAGAGGATGCGGGCTGAAAGTCACTGCGTCGATGGGAAGACATTTCCTTCTGTGAAGAAATGATAGTGTTTATATGGATGATAGTGAACATTAACAGGTAGATAACGGTGATTATAATGATGATGGTGGCTGTAGATGGTGGTTTCATGCTAATGATAATCCCAATTAAGTCCTGTAATAAAATGCATTTGAATTTGGCTGCGACTGAAGAAAAAAAAAGGCTATCAAGGGTTTCTATGGCAACAGGGGGATCTTGCCAAGACTCCACATCTGCGTGTATGTGTGTGTGTGTGTGTGTGTGTGTGAGAGCTTGTTTCTGAGTGTGAATATTGCACAAATGGTTTCAACATCTGTATTATGAAAGTCTCTCTCATTACACCCTGTAACGCTCTTTATTCCTCTGCTAGGGAGAAGACGGCTTCCCCGGCTTCAAGGGAGACATGGGTATCAAGGGCGACAGGGTGAGGCTTACATCCCACTCAGCACTGTCAATTACATCTACGCTTGTCGGATGCATCGTTCAAATGAATCACACTGATCAGACAACTGTAACTTCAGCACTCTGAATTGTTTTGGGCTTTTGTTTTGCTCGGGGGCGACCTTAAGCTCCACTCCAAGTGAAAAGCGCCAACCGCTTTTGTCACGTCGGCCGCTTATCGCTTAAGCCTCTGTGACTACTGTGGAATTGTAGGTAATGAGCAAACATAAGGTGTTGTTCTAGTCGCCAGCTGTTTGGGGCGTGTGACCACTTTCCAATTCCTTTTCTTTCCCCCCCTCTGCCACTTTCCCAGTCAGTCCTAACCCCGCCAACTTTAGCGGAAAAAGCACAAGTTTGACAGGTCTGCCGCGCAACAGCTTCTTTCTCCAGAGTGCATTAGGGATTTACACTGTCAAGTCGTAGGAAAAATGCCTTCTACAGTGAGAAACATAACTCACACCAGCCCTTACTTCAAACATCAACTCTCCAATCCCTGACCAGACTGTCTTGAGCTGAGTGCAAGAAAGGAAGGAGAAATCAATGGCACTTTAAACCCCTTCAAACCTGAGACAGAAACATGGGGCTCCAGCCGTGTTTTCCTCTGGAGATGCAGCAGATCCAGATGAAAGAAGATTTGAGGAGGCCCTCTGCTCTAGAGACGTGCACATGGACCGGAATCTAAATGACTACATTTTGCCTATGAAAAGTCTGTGTGTGTCTGTGTGAGAGAGAGAGAGTGCTCAATTTAAAGTGTTCTCTTTGATGAGCTCGCAAATGTGAGTCAAGTACAGTTTGCTTGATGCCGTTTTATGTGTACTTGAGTGTGGGCGTGAGCGCGCACTCACTTGCTTTGCAACTCTGCACAAGCCTTTAACTAGATACCTTTCACACACCAGCGGGTCTCCGCAGCAGTGACTGGTTGTCAGAGCGAGTTTGTACTCTGTCATTTACTGTGTGTCCTGCTGGAAGGAGAGCACACGTACAGAGAGAAGCAATAATAGGATGGCTAACTGTGGGTAGCGAGGGAAAACAGCCTAACTCCATTCTTTAAGTAACTTTACACTCACAACAGTTTAAAAGCGTTTCTTGAACTACGCAGAATGGACTAACTTATTTGCTCAATAAGAAAAAAATCTATGATCTAGTTCTTCATGTGCTCCAATTGAATATTAATAGGATCGTGAAAACGTTGTAAAGGAATTATTTAACAAAGCAGGAGTCCTTTTCTTTTCAATGACGTAAGAAAGTAGGGACGACGTAAGCATGTGAGCGAGAATAAAGGCTTTTGAGAACTCCAACCGCTTTAGAGAGTCTGACCACAAGTAGTGCTGTGGAGCAGTGTTTTGATGAGCACATGCAGGAAGACAGACTAAGTATAAAAGATTAATGAAGCATAGGTTTGTGGACTGGCGTTTTGAAGCCTTGAGTTTGGAATTTTGCTGCCTTGCTTTTTGAAACCAGATGTAACAAATAAGAAGTGGATCTTAAGGAGCTGGAACGAAGCCCTAAAACACAAGGTGCTTCATCATCTATTTTACTCTAAATAGGATCATGATTTACAAAATGAATGTGATTTTTAACGAGCTATTGGGACCATAAAACTCATTAGGGAAAATGTTTACTGGAGAAATGGATCAAGGAAGAAGTTTTTTTCTTATAAAATCTCGTACAATCGGACTGTTTTTTGCAACCAGAGGAGTCGCCCCCTGCTGGCTGTTGGAAAGAACACAGATTTAAGGCGTTTGTTTTACTCTCGAGATAAGGAGGTTACATCCAGCTTTTCTATATATTCTATGATTGTGCACAAGTATGTGCAAAACACAAGAGACATTCAACTGTAGAGGGAAGTAACTTGAATTTCCTGTCATCCTTGTGATTGACAGCATGAAGTAGTAGTGCATGAAGAAACATAGAAACGCCAACATAGAAACTACTCTCAGTGTGTTGGTTAATACTGTAAACAGAACTGTTTTTGGATAATTCTTCATGGTCCCTTAATAGACAATGATAAATGATACATCTATTTATGATATTTAAGCTGGTCAGACACGCCTAGTGACTAGTGAGCTACATGAATGAAACTTCCACTGTCTCTAGTGACTACATAACAAAACTACAGCCAAGAGAACAAGTTCAGCAGAATCGGTTTAGAAAGATGACTCTGTGAAACCCACTGCTGACAGTAGACCCAGCGCTTCGTGTTTTCCTGCACAGCAAAGTCATGTTTGTGTTTCCTTCCAGGGAGAGCTCGGACCAGCAGGACCCAGAGGAGAGGACGGTCCCGAGGGGCCAAAAGGTCGCTCAGGGCTTCCAGGAGACTCTGGTCCTCTCGGCCCCACCGGTGAGAAGGTGAGCTCCATTTGCCAGTTTTTGCTCTTACAGCGAAAGTGTGCCGAAGATGAAAGAGAATCTTTTTTAAAAAAGCTGTTATTTTGTATCTTCAGTCATGTTTGATCTGGGATGATGGCTCAGCAGGGTTTAACAAGGAAAATGACTTTAGCGATCGTTCGTTGTGAACAGCAACCAATTTTTCATTGCTGCTGCTCCTCAACCAGCTGAGAGCATAAACGGATTCAGATATTTAACATTCTTTATTGTTAAACTGAACACTGGGTAAGCTCTTGCTTACTATTCTTCAGCCATCGACAAACCTTCTGCCAAATGACAATACTAATGATTGACCAACTGCTTTGGTAAGCCATTAGCCAACAAGCACAAGTGACAGTTGTGTTTTGCTCCACAGTTTCCAAAGTCTATATGTTTGTTATTCCTAAAGCTTTCTCCACATAGTGAAGTGCGTGTTCTGACTCTAAATTGTACATACATTTGCATTATACATACTGCAGTTCAAAAGTAGGTTTTAATCTGCATCTGGATCACACGTTAGGTAACAGCTGACTTATTTTTACAATTCATTAGTGCATCCACATCAGCAAACATTGCCATGTTCAAACCCAGAGGTTCTAATATAAACTGCTGCAGTGCTGGTGCATGTCTCAATGTAGTTCCACGACCAGAATAAAACTTCTTCTATTCTAATTGTCTTTATTTGCAGATGTACGAATAGAGCATATTTTGGGACTGATACAGTCTGCTTGTCTTGCATCTAGGTTGGAAATATACTTATGAGGAGTTGAGTATCGTATAAAAATTCTACAGATAATTTTAGAATCCTATTTGGACTGTGTGGGCATCTCCGAGCACACTTGTTATTCTGGTTTATGTAGGTGTAGCAGTGCAAGGTACAAAAGAGCTGCATGAAATCAAACACAAATTGGAGGGTGTGGTAATTTAATAAATGCACTGCAACATTGACAGTAGCTCAGTAAATAAAATGATGCGTCTCCAGGACACAGTAATGTTGTCTCAGTGCTGCAGAGGACAGTATAGCGGTGATGGAATTAAATAGTTGAAAATGTTCATGAAGCTTTTTATGTGACCAAATCCATGTGATGATTATCTCAGTTTTAATCCTACTGTATCAAGCGTCACAAATGATCACACCGTATTGTAAATGTGACAAAATTGCGTTTGCAGACGGATGTGTTTCAGGAATAAGACACACAATGCCTCTTTCTGTGCAAAGAAATTTGGAAAGGAGGCGATGATACACAGGATTCATGAGCCACCGTAATCCGACAGCTCCTGGAAGTAGAGATCCAACGCATTTAATATGACTGTAGCAGCCTGATGTCACTTAAAACTGATTTAATCAAGGTATACGTGGCTGTGAACAACAGCTATAGTGTCCTGCTGCCTTCAAGTGCTGCAGTGATTTATTATAGTACAAGAGAAGGTTTATATACAGTACGATGTGCTGTGGACTATTGATATTCCAAGAATTATTCATATTGATTAAATAACATTTGCTTCAGGCACATTAAATGTTATAATTTGATATGTTTTAAATGCAGCCCATTTATTTACATTTTAAAAATGATTCTGTCATTGGCGCAGACGATTTGCATTTTATGTATGCTCCGCACGCAGTCTAAGACCTTGTATCTTGTCAGCGTGAGAAAAGGTTACCATCAATTGGTTATTAATCACCACGGCTTAGGAAGACAGCGGCAGTATGGGACTAACTGATGTCCTCTGATTTCTTAGCAGGTTTGTGAACAAGATAATTACATAATTATGAGATCAGAATCTCATTATTATCGATCTTTTCTTGTAATTATGACATAGGAGGTCATAATTGAGATAATAGTTTTGTTATTACAATGCATTTAGGAGGGACAATGTCTCTCGATTTATTTGTGTTACAGGCTGGAGATTTTGAGTTTGAAAGAACCTCGCATTTAGCTAAATCTAAAAAACAAATTGAGTCATTTTTTTGTGTGTTACAGGGTAAACTTGGAGTTCCCGGACTGCCAGGATACCCAGGAAGACAAGGACCAAAGGCAAGTGCAGGCATACTGCTAAACAATATTGCAGTTAGCTCTCTGATTTCATCAAATTTAATATTCTTTTGATAAGCTACACGGTTTAGCTGTCCAGAAACTGCTTGCATGTTTTTGTTCGTGTTTGAAAGAGAATGAAAAATCCCCACACGTGCATGTGACTGCTGCTTTGCTGAACTTTGGATGGCTCATCCTTTAGCCCCTCTGAAGCAAAGCCGCAGTCTGACAACTGGACATGCTTGAAGCTTCCTGATCAAAGAGCCGAGGATTTGAATATGCTATTTGGTGTCAGCCTTCAGCTGCTGATACGATAACAATAAAACACTGCTTTTATTTATGTGCACACGATCTCCTGTTGCATTTAATAAGCTGTTGATATCTCAGGGAGTAAACAAGGGATATTATGCTTAAGGTTCGTGCCTCAAATGATTAATTACTTTCTTTCTCACACACAGGGATCTCAGGGTTTCCAAGGTTTCCCTGGTGCTAATGGAGAGAAAGGAACTCGGGTATGTCAGATAGACTCCTTGTTATTCTTCTCATTCCTACATGAGTTTCGATGCAGGTGTAGCACCGAAGACAGGCTCCTTTCCCAGCTCCAGATTTATCAAACTAGAGGAAGTTGCATAGCTCTGAAACAAAGATTTTTACCAAGGACAGAAAGACTATTGCATTCCTTCTTCATTACCACTTACACAACTCATTTGGAACTACCAAAAGCTTTGTTTATCACTTGGTGGTGCTTGAGCAATGTTTCATTTTCTTTGTTTAAGGGAAGGGCCATTAGCTCGCCTGCAAGACTAATGGTTTGTCACCACGAGCGGAGCAAGGCACATAAAGCTTTTCATCTTCACAAAACATTTGTGAAGTTTATGAGACCAAGCTCCCCGACAGACGGGGATAATAGTGCTATTAACATAGTTTCACAACACTTATTTGAAACTTGAAAGCCACACTAAAGACGTAATTGTTTTTCTCATTAAAGATGCATGTAGCCACTATAATTGTATTATTGCTGTAAAATTAGTATATCATGCGTTGCCGTTTATTAAAATGAAATTTTCGGAGGTAGTAAATGGAAGTGATGATAAATGTTCACGGTAATTTCATAACAGGTAGCTCCTAATTATTGATAAAAGACTATCTCGGAGCACGTAAATGGCCCAATTCTGTTGAGATCTGCTTGCAAATGTGACTGTCTGCTGGCATTACATTAATTCTTCTAGAGGATGCAGCCTCTTTAATGATGTGAATGCCATTCCTTTGATCATTGTGTGTGTTCTTCGTGTCCTCAGGGAACAGCAGGAAAGCCAGGCCCACGCGGACAGAGAGGACCGACGGTTAGTCTTACTCAGCAGACTCGTGCTCACATACAGATGGCGAGCTTGGCACCTGAGTAAAAGTGGAGGTTCAACCTGGGCACGCTTGAGGGAATTCCAAACTGGGACAATAATTAAGCTTAGCATTTTCAGGTCACAGATATCTCTCTCTGGAGCTTATCTTGTGATTTTTAAATCATGATTTTTCTTTTCCAAAGGGGCCTCGAGGAGAGAGAGGACCAAGAGGACCAACAGGAAAAGCTGGACCAAAGGTGCGTTATAGATTTCACTGACACTTTCTTACGTATATTGTGCTGCGACTTCACAGTTTACTATGTGTCTCTTCAGGGTAACTCAGGAAATGACGGCCCACCAGGACCTCCCGGTGAGAGGGTACGTATCATCACACTGTCATCAGGAGGCATTTTATTCTCAGTATAGGTTTCTATCAGCGCCAACTGATTACTGACCAGGGATCATGTGTTGTTTGTTTTAGGGTTTGCCAGGGCCTCAGGGACCAACAGGCTTCCCAGGACCAAAGGGCCCTCCTGTGAGTCCAGACGCTCTACACAGACCCATCATGGTCTTGTCTTCATTTTTTTCTGTATGTTTACTGTTGATTCATGAATATGTGTGAATTTCTCAGGGACCTGCAGGGAAAGACGGACTTCCTGGACATCCTGGACAGAGAGGAGAGACTGTGAGTCAACTGGTTTGGTTCTTCAGTTCTTTATCTGTATTCAACAGATTTGGTTTTCTGACAGTGTTGTTGTATTTCTTGATACAGGGATTCCAAGGCAAAACAGGCCCTCCTGGTCCTCCAGGTGTAGTTGGACCTCAGGTGAGTCACCGTGACGGGGCACGTGTTATCAGCAATGGTTTTAACTTGACTGTTGTGTTGTTATGCGCGTACAGCTTCTATTTCCTGTATCCCTTTGTGACGAATCCCTATTATGTGCCGAAAAATAACAATTATGCATTTTCATTGTTTATTGAAAAAGTTATAGTCCGTAGCAGAACCCGATATTTACATGCACGAAAACACAACAGCAACCCCGATCATTAGCAACACTTTCTCAGTGTTTTGTTAGTCCCAACAAAAATTTGATTGATATCTCAAGAGCCATGACTTAAGTGTTGTTTATCCTCGTTCATATTAGCAATGGGCTCTTATCTTCATCCATTATGCATAAACGTTTAACAGACTTTCCCTCCCAGCCGCTCTGCTAATGCCAGCTGAGAACATTCATGATAACGGAGCTGTATGTGGCTTTAATGACTAGTAGGCCTCCCACACAGCAAATGCTCAGCTTCTCCTCGCCATGTTTTGTGATAGATGGAGGGATTGTAGCATCTTTTTTGTATTTAAATTGCTGATTTAGCTCACAGTGTCCTCTCTGCTTTCCTCTTGCTGTAGTTTCTCTTCTTCACACCTCCTCTGCAACTTGCTGTAATGCTTGTGTCTGTGAGTTTATGTTTGTTTTTTTTCCCAATTGTAGGGACCAACAGGTGAGACTGGACCTATGGGAGATCGAGGCCATCCTGGACCCCCGGGTCCACCTGGTGAGCAGGGTCTACCTGGAGCTGCAGGGAAAGAAGGAGCCAAGGTGAAACTCATAGCTGTTTAATATCTTTTCTTTCTTACCACTCCGTCAGCTTAATGCCTATATGTATCATATTTTTAGTTCCATACAGAGTTTATGTTTTATATGATTAATAACAGTGGGCTTTTTGTCTGTAGGGTGACCCTGGTCCTGCCGGCCCAGCAGGTAAGGATGGTCCTCCTGGGCCAAGAGGATTCCCCGGAGAGAGAGGCCTGCCTGGCCCTGTGGTTAGTACTGCCTTCTGCTCAGTTTAATACCTTCTGACAAATTCAATACCTCTCACAGCTTGGTTATTGCGTAATAGTTCTGGGCTATGAAATCGCTGTAAGAATGTGGTGAACCTCAGGAATCAGAGATGATATCAGATCCCTGAGTGGGCTTCATAAGAGAAACTGTGCGCTCAAGGCTGTTTATTTTTTTAATTTTTTCCTCTATCTTGACAAAGTCACGTCCTTGTAGTTATGCAATTTGCGCTCTTTTCTTACTGCAAACTTGTTAGAAAGAAATCAATGGCAGATGCAGCTTTTATTCTTAGCGTTAGGATTCAGAAATTATGTGATTCACCCGCTCCTTTGTAATGTAAAGGATGCTTGCAGCAGTTTTGGTGAATAGCTGTTCTCCCCATCTGCTCTGAGCCTCCACTTTGGAGAATATCGGAGGCTTTCCATCTCATGCTGAGCCTGTTTGAACATAGGGAGTCCAGTGTAAGGCAGGATGTGTGCTTCCCCAACAGATGTGTTTGTTTTCTGAAGCCTTCTTTTTATTTTGTTCTGCAGGGGGCTCACGGCCTGAAAGGGAATGAGGGTCCTCATGGCCCACCTGGCCCTGCTGTGAGTACAATTTACTGCATCCGCATCCTCAGTTTGTCACTTTAGCTCTCACCTTCTATGTTCTGTCTTCAACTCTGAGAATTGTCTTCATAGTAAAGTTCCCATCCTCTTACATAACATGATGATATCCACAGTTTGCTACTTACATAACAGAGGTCTGGTGTATCTGATGAGGTAGATGTGCATGAAATGATGCTTTAGTTTTCAGTGTTGCGATCTTTGTTGCGTTTGTTAACTAACATTTGATGTGCGATGCTTCTGTAGGGTTCTCCTGGTGAGCGTGGTCCTGCTGGCCCCGCCGGACCTACTGGTCTTCCTGGACGTTCTGGTCCTCAGGGGCCCCCAGGCCCTGCTGGAGAGAAAGGTGGACCGGTAAGAAAATCATGTCATAGATTATACTACATTTAAACACAAAGATAGTCAAGATGTCTCCTGGCTGACAGCATGCTGTAACAATATGACAAAACTATATTTTAGGGAGAGAAAGGACCTCAAGGCCCAGCTGGAAGAGATGGTATTCAGGGACCTGTGGGTCTGCCAGGACCCGGAGGACCTCCTGGACCCCCTGGAGAGGACGGAGACAAGGTGAGTTACTTTTCATGGCTTGTTCCACCACCAAGTGAAGAAACATGTAATGTAACTCAGTTAAGCTGCACTGACATTTTTGGTTTGTGAGCAGTCAATGCTTCTCTCTCAAACACACACTGGATGTACATGCAGACTCATCACCTTACAATAGACACTGAACTTTACAGTTGAGATCTCAACCAGATATCCTCTTATCTCTTTCTCTGTGACCTTAAACGCTCTAAGGGGAATTTGTCTGACAGAGTTTGCATCGATTAACAGATCTTTAAAAGGCGAACCGGCCTTGTTGCTGCTTTGTACTCTTCTGTACAAACAGACAGAGGAGAGGGAGGGATTTTTGTGGCAGTGACAGAATGTGTGAAAGTGACCCTTTAGTATTCAGAAGCAAGAGAGACTCCACATCCCCGCTGAAAAACATTTGCAGGAAGATCATCCACGGAGATACTCAGAGGATAATCTCTTATCCTTTGAAGAATGCCTCAGTTCTTAACTGGCCTTACAACAGTCCCTGCGGTGCAAACGGACACAGAGAATACAGAGGGTATTTGCCATGCAGATAAAAAGGATCTTGCAAGCTAATGTTTACACATATTCAGACACTTTCTCATTATAAGTCCTTTCCGCGGGGAGTGGACAACTCCGAGGCCTTTATGTAAGGGACTAATGCTGCCTCCAGAAGAGCATTGTTTGACTCAGACCCAAAACTAAACTCATTTCTCCACATTTCTTAATTTCTCCCCAGCATGCGGATGCTTTGACATAAGTGTTCTTCATTTTGTATATTCTGGTGCAAACAAGTTCATAAGAGAATAATTATTGATTCTGTTTTGGCTGCCGTACTGCCAGTGACTCAGTCGTCATGATAAGCCCCCTTCGGATGTGAAGTAGATTTGTCAGAGAGAGAGAGAGAGAGAGCGGCGTGAAATATCTATAGGCAGATCTTAAAAAAAAGACTTTCAAAGATGGGATACAGCTGAGTACAAGTTTTCGTCTGATTCGATATGTCATCTTCTGTTCTGGGGAACGGTTGATAATATTTTAACATTATTCACTGTCAAGTTGTATCAGCCTCCTGTGTATGTGTTACTACCTGTTCTTGTTTCACACTGTGATGATATCATTTCACAGGGAGAGATTGGAGAGCCAGGCCAGAAAGGAAGCAAAGGCGACAAAGGAGAACATGTAAGTTTGTCTGTTTACAGTATTATAGAGAAGTCATTATTTATTCATCATTTTTACCTACTTCAACATTGAATTTCATCCAATTTCCTTGTAAGTACATGGACTTTATGCTGAATAGTGAACAATAACATTACTGATTGTTCCTCTGCAGGGTCCACCCGGCCCCACTGGCCCTCAAGGACCAGTTGGAGCACCAGGTCCTGCTGTAAGTGTCCTCCTTTGTTCAGCTCATTCAGGCCTTGTCTGTGTATCTGTAGCCCAGTACTCCGGCTTCTAATATCACCTGATTATGTGTTACGTTGTGCAGGGTGCAGATGGTGAGCCTGGTCCCAGAGGTCAACAGGGTATGTTTGGACAGAAGGGAGATGATGGAGCAAGAGGATTCCCTGGACCTCCTGGCCCAGTTGGGCTGCAGGTGCGGACAACAGTGAATAATAGAATCTGTGAGAGTGGTCAAATACTTTCATTAACCCTCTGCACCGCAAGCTGTTTCTCTGCGTTTTATTTGCTCCTGTCACATATTTTGCTGCTGTAGGCTCATTTTTCACAGCAATATGAGGTCCTGCACCTCTGGAAACAACGCAACCGAGGCTAGACACTAGACCACTACAAAATGGCTTGTGTTCAGTTATAATGCCATAAATCATAAAAATAATAAGAAAAAAAACTAGTTAGTTGGATTATTAATTTTACAAAAAAATACATTTTAAAACCTGGAATAAACATGTACAACATTTTTTTCAAGTAGCCACAGCTATACGCTGGGAAATAATGGAGATACTACATAGTGAATTTATTTACCTGCCTACATTTTTAATTTCTTTCAGTGCCGTCTGCTCTGTGTAAACACAGTCTGCAGGTCAGTCCAGTTCAGACGAAAAATCTGAATTTTCGTCAAGTGAATGTTGGTTGCAGTTGAGTTCCTAATGGATTCAGGGTTGCACCGAGGGGAGCAGAACTTTTAGTTTTTTACAAAATCTGCTGAGTGCAAATGGTTAATTTTTGGCAATTTTCTAAATGAGCCATGAAGAATAAAGTGATTTCAATGAAATATCACAATTTTGAACTTCGCCGATTGTTTTTTAGTCTTATTTTGCTGATTTTTTAAAAACCCGCCAGTGAGATTTGGGGTTCAGAGGGTTAAGAAACACAGAAGCAGCACAATTAAATCTTCTGCTAACTTTTCAGGGCTTGCCTGGTCCCCCTGGTGAGAAAGGTGAAACTGGAGATGTTGGTCAAATGGTAAGAGTTCACATTATACACATTGTGATTGCTATCATTCAGTACATTACATTACAAGCAGCATGCAGATGAAATGAATTTCTAATTTAAACCGGCTTTTGTCATTCCCATAGGGTCCACCTGGTCCCCCTGGCCCAAGAGGCCCCTCAGGACCCCCTGGAGCCGATGGCCCTCAGGGACCTCCTGGTGGTATTGGAAACCCTGGTGCTGTTGGAGAAAAGGTAAGCCTCTTCATGTTCTCATTTAACCACCCCTGCGTGTTAACTGTGGTGAGTCTGCTGGCACATTTTGATGGCTTTATAATCACATTTGTGATACTGTGCATTTGTGTTTTGGGACCTGTACTCCAGAGAGAAACACTTCTCTCTTGGAGAAACCAGCCTAGCAACACTTTGGAAAAAGCCAGAAATAGTGTGTTAGCAGTTTATTTGAGTGTTCTTTGGTAAAGACTGTGAATGATACCACTTTACAAGGCTTTTGCAGCCATTAATATTTCACATGCCTATTTATATGATACCCTCTTAAATGGGGCATGATTTTTTTTTAACACAGAGTGACAGATGCACACCAAATCTAATGGACAGGCTGCCATTCCCAACAGTACTTCTGGATGGAGAGAGAATGAATAAATACTCAAAGGCATAATACTGCAATTCTAAGATGATGAATGCATTAATAAGTCAGCTCTCATAAAATCAGCTACAGCTCTTATTTGTTGCTGGTGTTTCATTATAAAAGGCCTGCTTTGGCAGCGTTTACAGCCGCCGGAATGCAACGTTGTGCACTTTCTCATCGGTTTCTGTCCATAGTGACGGTGTGATTTGTTTTATCGGTTTCAGTCAATAGAATCACCTTTTGCTCCTTTATAGTCTCCCCGAGGATGGCCCGTCCTCCTCCTGTGCAAACAAACACAACGCTGTTCAGGCTAATCGCGCTTTAGCTGATCTGGCATTTTATTAGCCAGCCCAGGGAGCTGGCAAGTAACAGAGGCCCAGGCCTTTTCTGTAAACACATCCCACATATATCAGTGATGAGCAGCTGTCTTTCATGCTTTCAGTTCTCCTATTCTCAGCAGATTTTAGAAGCAGCCCTTCGGTGGACATAAGCAGGTTGCCGTAAGCATACAGTCAAGGCCTGCGCGGCGCTTCTCTTTGCATAAAGAGCAATTTACGCTGCTAATACACTAGGATCAGTCATGCTCTTAAACAGGCATATCACCTGCTTAGAGTGGATTTCTTGACAGCAACAAGAGAGGGTTTTGGCAGACAGCCAGACGCTAATTTAGAGTATCGGTTGATGTTCACAATACAAAGCTGTTGTTCATGCTAGAGGGAATTTGGATATGCTTATCACAACACATCACCGCACAGCTTGTCATTGGCTCTGCAGAACTATCGATTGGTTCCTCGTCTCCCCCAATGTGTCAGGGGCTAACATTTTTCTGCAAAACAGGTGTGGCAGAATGCATCTGCAATAAACCCCAGCAGGGAGGCCAGTAGGTTTATGTGACAGTGAATAACGATAGTGCCTGGCTTATAGGTGAGTCAACATTGCAACTATCCAATAAGGCGAGAGGAAGAGGACAAGATGTATGGGCAGGGTCGAGGGAGAACAGTGAGGTCAGCGCCCTCTGTGCTCCAGCCACCCAATCCGCCTGCACTTGATGGATTGAAATCTCTTGTGTCATCTCTTTCTATTCCCATTTTGGTGACAAGGGCACAGGGACAGTGAGCGCTGCTGTAAATGATGGGATTTTTAGACCCATGTTGGATCAACAAATCACCTTACTGATAATGTATGTGTCTGTCTCGCCCACTAATACCCCTCCCCGCCCTCCTCGATCAGGGAGATGCTGGTGAAACAGGAGAGCCAGGACTTCAGGGAGAAGTTGGACCACCAGTGAGTTATCTGATTTTCTTTTCGTCATTTTTATATGATAATAAATAAATAAATAAATAATAAAAAGACAAAAGAAAATGCTGAAAAAGAAGATTAATCTTTGTTGGCTTAACTACAAATGACTTCATCTACTGTGGCCATGAAGAGCAAATAGCTCATTTATTTTTCTTTCAAGTTCCCTTTTGCTATTTCCCTCTTGTTTTCTAAGAGCATCTCTGAAGTAGAATTTCTACCATGCTGCATGTTATTCTAGGGCCCAAGAGGAGAGCGAGGAGAAAAGGGAGAGTCTGGTCCGGCTGGTGCTGCTGGACCTCCCGGTCCTAAAGGCCCCCCTGGAGATGACGGTCCCAAAGGCAGCCCAGTAAGTTCAATTCCACCTTTAAAATGCTTTTTAGAGCATAAGTCAGCACACAGAGGACGGTCATAGTGATGAATAAGTAAATGTCACATGTAAAAACATATTAAGTGATGCACCTTTTATTGATTATCAGGGTCCAAGTGGCTTCCCCGGTGACCCTGGCCCCCCTGGAGAGCCTGGTCCAGCTGTACGTATGGTTGATCTATTAACAAACTGTGCATACTCTTGTCGTCACACTGTTAAACTGTTGCAGAGCATCATGACTGAGGTTCTGTTCAACTCTGATGCAGGGCTTAGACGGTCCACCTGGTGACAAGGGAGATGATGGAGAGGCCGGTCAGGCTGTGAGTATATGTGTAACTTTTCCACAGTGACCGTGTCTTTACTAAGAAATGTAGATTGTCATTTAAATTGTAAATTGTTTCATTTTAAACTAGGGCTCACCCGGACCCACTGGAGAGTCTGGTCCCTCTGGACCACCAGGAAAGAGAGTAAGTACTGTCCTGTGCTCTTTGCTCCTATTCATCAAAATGATAAAATATTCTATCTGTGTATCACACAATATTAATCTTTGTCATCTATTTCTTTGAAATAGGGGCCTCCTGGACCAGCAGGACCTGAGGGAAGACAAGGAGAGAAAGGAGCCAAGGTATAACATCCAAGAAATAATAAAGATTTTCTGTCTTTTTGTGTTTACTTTGTGTGCCTGTTATATAAAGTAACCAACAAATGAGCAAGAATCAAATGGTCTGTGTGAATCTTGTTTCTGTGTGAAAGGGAGAGCCTGGCTTAGAAGGTCCCCAAGGAAAGACAGGTCCCGTTGGCCCTCAGGGATCACCTGGCAAGCCCGGTTCTGAAGGACTCAGGGGGATCCCAGGCGCAGTTGTAAGTAGCGTGTTTCTCACTGACACAACACTTCATTGCAGTCAAATCTTGATGCTGTGTAGTATTGCTCTCTCTATATATATATACACACACACACACACACAATATACACACACACACAATTTTCAATTACCAGGTAGGATGCATGCTAATTGAAAACTATATAGTACAAAAGGGCTTCATGCTATTTATAGAAAACAGCATTTCCTTGTGAGCAGGGAGTTTAAAACACTGTGTAATTGGTATTTCTTTGCAGGGAGAACAAGGGTTGCCTGGTGCTCCAGGCCCAGATGGACCTCCTGGACCTATGGTGGGTAGAAGTTCCTTTTCATCTTGGAGCTGAGGCATGTTACCTAATATGTGATTTGATCTAAAAGCCAATTAACTCCTCTCCAATGTGACATTTCTCTCACAGGGCCCTCCTGGTTTACCTGGTTTGAAAGGAGACTCTGGTGTTAAAGGAGAAAAAGTGAGTCACTCCGGCATCCGCCCAATTGACCTGAAATGTTTAATTAGAGCATTAGCGTAATACTGAAACTAATGGATGGATTTAGTAATTGATGAGATTTGCTGTTTGCCAGCGGCCATGAAAACATTAACCTAATGATTAGAGGGTGTGCCAGAGAGAGATATTTTAGTGCTAATGTTTGTGGAGTATTATTGACTGTCATATTGATAATGTGCATGCCGGTATGTTGTTCTCTGTCCTCAGGGCCATCCAGGTCTTATCGGTCTTATTGGACCCCCAGGTGAACAGGGAGAAAAGGGTGACAGAGGTCTTCCTGGTCCTCCAGGATCATCGGGTCCCAAAGGAGACAATGTGAGTAAATAAAACAACCACATGCTTACACAATATATTTTGTATACTGCATACAAAAACCAACTGCACAAGAGCAGCACTATTTGTGCCATTACTTAGCCCACTGAAAGTTATTGACAGTCTTTTCAATATTTTTGGCCTTTTTAATTTAGCAAAGGCAAAATATAGCTGGCGGTGTTAATATCCCTCATGCTAGTCAATACTGTTGCTTCAGGAGTAAACAAGGCTCCTTCTGTTGTCACACAACAGTTATGGATTTCTCTTTTTCCTTCAGGGTATTGCTGGTCCTTCAGGTCCACTTGGTCCCATCGGCCCTCCAGGATTACCTGTAAGACTCATTATATGTGTCACAGTACAGTGTGTAACCCATGGGTGTGTAATGTCTGAGCCAGTATTGATTACTTTATCATCTTTGTGTCTTTAGGGTCCTCCAGGTCCCAAAGGTGCTAAAGGGTCATCGGTAAGTAATTTACTGAAAGCCATATCCTGTCAGGAACACTAACAAGCATTAATTATGACACCCATAAACTCATTTGTCAGGGTTAAGCATTTGTTTAATTTGTCCTACACAGGGACAAACTGGACCAAAGGGAGAGACCGGTACACCTGGACCTCCTGGACCTCCTGTAAGTACATGCCCTAGTTTTGGAATTGTATGATTCTTCTGTATTTTCATCTTGGTTTCTAGAGATTTCCATAATCGGCTAACTGGCATTTGTCTCTTCTTCTTTCATCTCTCCATGACAGGGCCCTCCCGGTGATGTCATCCACCCACTCCCCATCCAGGCTCCCATTAAGGGCAGGTCGCGTAGGAACATCGATGCCAGCCAGATGGTGGACGACGCAGCCGTGGATGCCAATTACAAGGACTACGATGACGGCATGGAGGAAATCTTTGGCTCCCTCAACTCCCTTAAGCTGGAGATTGAACAGATGAAGCACCCACTGGGCACACAAGGCAACCCTGCTCGTACCTGCAAGGACCTGCAGCTCTGCCACCCTGATTTCCCCGATGGTTTGTATCACATTTACTCTAAAAAAAAAAAAAAAAGAGGCATTGTCTGAACCCACACTCTGCACAGTGTTTAATTTCAGGGCTGAAATTACTCATTACGCAGCAGCCTGCCAGACATGTTGAAAAAAAAGACAATGCTACTGGGTAGCACATTGAGCTGTGTGTGTGAGACACATACTCTGCCAATAGTATATACCAGCAAATTCATTAATATCACTAAAAAAGTCAAAGTTATGGAAATGCAGATTTAGGCCTGAGCCCAGCATCAGAAGGTCTGACTTTTCAATCATATGTCCTGCTCAGTAAAAGGTAATGCTGAGTTATGAGTCTGCCTATAAACATCAAGAACCATACCTGATTTTATTGCGTCATCATCTCCGTTAAAGTAGTCTCCTAGTGCAGAAATGAACTGCTCCCAGTGCTCCTGCAGCACTTGTAATGCTCCCCTTTGTCCCGTTTTTGTAAGCATGTCTGTAATGGCAACTGAACCTCATCCACGGTGCCAATACGAGAATCCTTACACTTAAATTACTTTTTGAGAGGGGAAAGAAGTCGGAGCGAGCCAAATCTAGCAAATGGGGTGGGGAGCAACGATTGTGTTGTTTTGACCAAAAAATGCATAATCACAGCGTCACATAGTCAGAGTACATCTTGACAGGTGGAGTCTCAGGGATAGTTTAACAGATCACCACCATGGGAATGTTGAAGAAAACAATGAGTACGCTCTTGATGCACCCCTGACTCCAGGCTTGGAGACTGCAGGCCCTTTCACTGTTAGAAACTGCAGTTTCTTCCATTTCCCAGCTCCAGCTTATCATTTGAGGATTTTCTTTATCTTGTCAGATAGTAAACTGAATAATCCATTTCATGACATTCTCTTGGGCTTTAGATAATCTTATCTGACAATTTAGAGACCAAAGGATTAATTGATTACTTGAGAAAATCAACAGATTTATTGATAATAAAAATAATCATTAATTGCAGCCCAAAATTTACCATCAATCATGATATACACGCTGCAGTTTGGGTTTACAGTATTTGCAGTTTAGCCATCATAGCTGCACGACACTTGCAATTGAAGACAGATGGACTGATTAATTACAACAGTTAAGACATTAACATTCCTCTATGTATCATCCATCTCTGGACAGTGATGTTATCTAACAGCTGGAGTTACTTCTTAAAGACGAATGTGGGTTAAACCATATTTAACTGGGATGCTGCCTAATGAGTGAGGTGCATGCCATGTAATCGATTTCCCCTCTTTGCCCTAGTTTCCTGTCTCTCTGTAGATTCAGGCCTGTGAAAATGAAGGCAAAAATGCAATAATATTTTTAACAACATAATAATAATTTAATGTGGTTGCATCACTAATGCTAACAGCAACATGATTTCCACGTGTAATACCCATACAGTGGGAGACGTTGCCTTGAACTGACCGATTACAGTGTTTTGGGGGTTTTTTTCTTTAAAAAAAAAAATGTAATTATAAATGCTGCTCTGTAATTGCGCTCTCTCCCTTGTTCTCTGCCTGTGTTTCCTCCCTCTCTTCATCCTTCCAGGTGAGTACTGGATCGATCCGAACCAGGGCTGCTCTCGGGACTCCTTCAAGGTTTACTGCAACTTCACAGCAGGTGGAGAAAGCTGCATCTTCCCAGATAAGAAGTCTGAAGGGGTAAGTGTGGCCGCATGTACACCAGCACTCATACAGTGAGCAGAACGACTGGAATTGTACAAAAAAAACAACATTTGTTGCTATTTTCATCCTTCAGTCTGTGATTTGATTGACACTATAATACTGTAAGCTGAATACTCAAGATAAGCAAATGACTGTCTTTTTCCCCTCACATGTGGGACCAACCGCTGTGCATGCTGTATAAATAACCCAAACATCTCAAGACAACACTATGTGTGAGAGTAACTCCATTGTACCTATTCATGTGCTCGTATAATTAGCCTCCATGAGATTATCTGGCGAGTTGCTACCGAGAAGACTTGGGAGATGATTCACCAGGACTCCCCTGCACTTCTCTTGAGGACCCAAGTTATTTCACAAACATTGGAAATCTCAGTGTAGTTCGGACAGTTGGTACATCTGCGGGGAGACAAGCCTCTCATTCAAACACACTTTCACTCTGACTCATCCATGCTCTATTCTTTTAGTGCCATTTTTAGATAGAATGTCATTAAGGACTTTATCACCCGTAAAAGCGTCTGGCAGGTGACAGGCACATTGAGAAGATTTTTGGTTCATTATGCATGAGTGTGTAGAGGAGAGGAGAGTAGCGGAGTGGTGAAACATTGGGAACACTGTCTTTGACAAGTCGAGGGTTGTGTAATAGCACAGTGCTACAGCCATTTTAATGATCCCACTCACCAAGCCTCAGAGGAGCAGGAGTTTGCTTAAGCTCAGAATAATGAAGCAGACTTTTTATAGCATGCTGGTGATGGGCTGCTCTCATTTGTGTCAGGGGTGAAAAGAAAAGCCTGCGCTGTCAGTCTTGCACAGAGACTAAAAACACTCCCACGTGTGTTTCAGACAAGCGCCGATATTAGCAGAGCACGTACTTCAACTGTCCACATGCTTTATAGGATCACAGTCAAAAAGACAGACATGCTACTTTTGAATCTAGAAAAGGAGAAAGTCACAGCAAGGATATATTTTCTCCTCTGCTCGGTCCACTCCGGTGAAAACTGAGTGAAGGTCACCTTCAAGGCAGCATGGGTCTAATGTATGCCATCTCCCAGCGATAAGTGATCTCCGGCCCATCATTCATTAATGCATTAAGCTACTGATGACAGTTCCATATCAAACCCTGCTCTCTAATTATAGAGAAATTCATCATTGTCATGGCTGAGACCATTAGAGCCGTGCCCCGTTGGCCAATTCACAGCTTTTGATGGCATAACAAAGTTAGTGCACCATGGCGGCGCCGCACCAACACTGAACAGCAGGGATAGAGGCCGCTCCATAAGAGCTCCTTGCACACGATCATTTCTTAATTAATCACTGTGTACTCATGAATTTTTCAGCAGCAATTAGCTGCCAGCTACAGTTTGTACTGTACAAAATGGCATAATGCATTACAAAAATCTTGTGCCCTGGTCCAGTTGGTCTTCTTGATCTCAGTGAATTCTAGTTCAGGTCTGGAAGACTCCTCAGAGGACAAACAGAAGGAGAAAAGACAAGGAAAAAAAAAAAGAAGCTGAGAGGGGATGTGGGATTTCTGTCAGATCTGTTTCCTTTCTTTAATACTGCTGTTTTTTCCTCCTCCTCCTCTGCCTCTTTATCGATCCATGCCCCCAGGCTAGGCTCACATCCTGGGTAAAGGAGAATCCCGGTTCCTGGTTCAGTGAATTCAAACGTGGTAAACTGGTAAGACTCCCGACTTTCCCAAGTCCTTTTCCCTTCCCTGAATGCCTCTTATATTTTACAGAGCAAAATGGCAAAATGGCCCAAAGACTCGCCAGGCACATGGTATAGTCACTACAAGAGAGGTTCCCTGGTAAGTGGCCCTGCCTGTGGTCCCAGAGTCCTGGCCGAGGCCTGGACTCTGTGTGCCTGAGGCTCTGCATGGTTCTGGTTCTGCCGTGTAAAGTATGTATTGGTACCTTGCTTGTTGGTTGTTTCAGTATTGGGGTGCATGATTCAGCACGAGCTGCACTCAGCTTCAGTCCAACAACACAGACGATGCTCTTACGCGGAAATGGAGGAGAGGTTTGGAACAAAAAATAAAGATGGTGAAGAAACACATTTGGCATCTAATGGAGTTTCACAAACACAAAACAATGTATTGGCCTTTCTCTGTGAAACTCCTGACTACATTATCCATTCTGCCATACCTCTGCTACATTAAGAGAGCATCTCTTCAGGGTGACTGTGTGCCTCGACACTCCAATGACTCAGGAAGCCTCACTGTACCCATAGACGGCTGATTTAATAGCGTGGACCAACCGTCTCATAGTGAATACATCACTTTAAACTTCTCTTTCCTACACGTTTGTTTTTTGAGTCGTTGATCCCGACAAGTTCTCGCCTCAGCAGGCCATCTATCCTCCACAAATAGAGAAACATAAGTGTCACTCCCTCTCTGCTGTTGCCGTTGAGCTGCACTCACATTCCCAGTGTCTCCCTTAAACACTACTTATATCCGGCAGAGTAGCTCTGAGTCAAACAGGTCAGGCACTCAGTCACCACCCAGGGGCTTCTGGGTACTCAGTCACTGTTGACTTGCGACTGTGATGATAAAGAGGTAATGTTTCTCTGGCGATGTCGGGCTGGATCCACACGCTGAGCGGGGCGGGGAGGGACGGAGGGTGACGAGTGGTGGGGTAAAGCGAGGAAAGCATGGGAGCACCCAGCCACTCCGAGGATGGAACCGGTTTTTAATTTGAGCCACAGCGCCGACACTCATAGACATAAATTACAGAACGAAGCCCTCGTTGTGTATATCTAGTGATTAATTAGCCAATTAAATCAATCATTGGCACTAACTTGTTGCACAAATAGATGGGGATGATGATTAGCTCTCTCTGTTAATGTCAAGTTTGAGTGTCGGCACTCTGGATTCTTTATATGCATGCGTGTGTGTGTGTGTGTGTGTGAGCACTCGCTTATGTGCAAGAACAAGTCAAGAAAGAACACCTCCAGACTCACAGATCACGGTTTGCTGCTCTGGCTGCATGGCATGGATTGTGCATGTGCTCTACTCTCAGTAAGTCCTGTTTGTCTGAAAGACGAAGCGACCATGCGGATCTAATGGATTCCTGATGGTTGGTATGCAGATAGTCATTTGCGGACATTAAAATGAACTGTGACTGGCTCCAAATCTGCGATCTTATCAGTCACAATTACAAAGTGCTATAATCAGCCCAATGGGATAAAACTCAGCATTCTGTAACACGAGCTTGAAAAGCAGGATACCGGGCTAATTATAGGTTAATTAACAAGCAATTAACATATCATTACTGCAACATATTCCCTATTAAGAGAATTACGTTTTCATGATTTTACCATCGTTTACTGATATTGGTTATACATTTTATATAATTACGCCATTTAGACTTAAATTAGGTGTTTAGTTCTGCTCCACATTAAGCCTTGAACATCAGTGCAGCTTCCAGAAATCAGTTCTTGGAAGTATTCTGCACCAGCCCCCCGTCTTCTAAACATTTACACATATTTGTACTTAAGGACAAGGCTGGTAGTATTTCATTTGTTTTGCATTGTCACCTAATTGTCACCTAATTTCATAAAAGACCTAAACCAACAAGGCATTAATGCACTAATGACTATTGTGTGTCTAAAGCCTGATGTAGACCTGAAATAATGTCAATTCTCAGCAGTGCACTAAATCTGTATTTATTCGCAGGTGAAAATAGACCCAGAGAAATGTGCTTATTGATGTTTTTTTTTAGTAACTTTTGCTAAAGAAAAAAATACAGTACCCTCTCAGAGGGAAATGTTGCTGCTCACAATAGTCTTTTTTTTCTCATTAGAAATAAATCATCTTGTTATTTGGAGATTACTGCAAAAGAATAAACCATTCTAAGACAAATTACCCTGTCCAATTTTAGAGCATTGGGATAAACACGGCAGTTTTTTTATTTATTTATTTTTTTGGCTGTCTTCATATGCTTCTCTTTAAAAAACCTTATGGAGCAATAAATAGGCAAATAAGAGAAAAATCCAAGCTGACGTTGGGGGAGAAGCAGGGTATTCAGAGCTAACACAAAGAGACAGACAACCATTACCACCCACACCTACAGCCAATGTAGAATCGCCCATGAACATCCACTGTGCATGTCACACAGAGAGAACACGTAAACTCCGCTCAGAACAGCAGGTTTATATAACATGAATAAAAGCTTCCATCCACACACTGAAAAACTCTGTGTTGAGCATAGCAGCAGTGCTACATCTATATTTACTCAGCTATGGTGCACCGTCACCCTCGAGAAGCTGCACAAAGTTACACAGAAAATTACCAAAAGTTGAGCAGTTCCCACCATCACAGGCATGTTAGCATCAGTAGTGTTAGTCAAGGTAAGTTTGAAAAACAAAGACCCCAGAAATGGCCATTGCTCATTGGAATGACTCCAAACACAACACTGCAGCTCCTGGTGTCCACAGCAACGTACCCACCAAGGTTACAGCAGATTGTATGTACAGTTGTCCAGATATGCCAAGAACAGACCTCACACAGACAGAGATTTCTGCATTTATTCACGAGGTCAGTGACAAACCGATGACATACAGAAGTTTATATGTTAGAAATGAAACAACAAAAAGAAGAGAATACACACAGAGTTTAATTTGACCACTGCAATATTCTGCAGGCTCATTATACGCCAGTCAAGTTTTCTTTTAAAGCTCACTTATTTTAAGAGCTGTTTTTTTTTTTTCTTCCTCCCACCAAATAAAGATCAGTGCAGTGAGAGAAGAAAACAAGCATTTTAAGTTCTTAAATTGGGATTAGGCCAAGATGAGGGAAAGGCAATTTCTCAGGATCTGATGAGAAAATGGTCAAAGTCTCAGTTGTGCTCAGTTATGTTGATGAGAACTAGTCTGGACACAGTAGAGATGTTTTTTAGAATGTTTCTTTCCTTTGGGTAACTGTTCTTGGACAGTATTGAGCCTCTTTTTAAAACATGACAACTGTGAATTCGTGACCTGTTTTTAAATCTGCAGTGCAGAACTTTTGTCGCCCCCTTCTGGCAGTGGAAGTAATTACAAAAATACCATGGACATGCACTAATACGCTTCACTTTCGATTACTTCTCTATTTTTTTAGATTGTACTTCTTCTGAATGCCAAGTTTCTTTTTTTATTTGGAAAATGTGAAACTTTTCTTGGATACTTTTTCTATAATTTGCTCCTCCATCCCAGTTATTGGATCCTTCTTTGTCTCTGTTGCTCCAAACCAATCACTGCTGGTTGATGTTAAATGCATTGATGCTGCACGAGTGTGGGAATGTCACCACAGACAGCAGATTTAAAACCCCGGCAGAGAGATTTACCTGCTGCTGATAGGCTTAATCAGCATTGTGTGAATTGGGCTTGGAAGTAGCAGATGTTAATTTATAAGAGAAAGTCGCACACCCTCGGTTTAAAGATTTACACCCCCACTATGAATGAACGGGCTTCATGCCAAAAACAAGTCATTGAGACACGAACTCCCACATTGTTGGTTTGGGTCTTTTCATGGGATTATTAACTTGATTAACACCAGCCTGATGCTTTAATGGCTAGATCAGTATGCGCTCCTATATTATCGGCAAATGAAGTTCTATTAGTTTTGTCTGTGCCGCCACAGGGCACGGTAGTATATTAACTCTGTATCCTTAGATGGCACCTCTTATTGACTCCGTTGTCAATAAGAAACACGTCCTAGAAATCCCAATACGGCAATAAAACAAGAATATAAATTACTAGTCATAAATTAAATTAAAACGGCTCCCGAGCGACAAAAACAGTGCACAACATAGACATGACGATGTGTCAATAAATCTTTCTGGTATCTTCAGGATGTTCTTTCCTCTTGGCCCACTCATTCTGTGCACTCTTCCCTCCTCCTGGTGTTAAGTTTTTGATGCTTAACTCCATCTGTGCTTCCTTTTTCTTCTCTTTTTTTTTTTTGCAGCTTTCCTACGTGGATGCAGAGGGCAACCCCATCGGCGTGGTCCAGATGACTTTCTTGCGGCTGCTGAGCGCAGCGGCCAGGCAGAACATGACGTACAACTGCTACCAGTCGGTGGCCTGGCACGACCAGGATCAGGACAACTACGACAAGGCCATCCGCTTCCTGGGCTCCAACGATGAGGAGATGTCTTACGATAACAACCCCTACATCCGCGCCCTGGTCGATGGCTGTGCGGTAAGTCGACGAAATGTGTGTGTGTGGGTTTGTGTTTGTGCGTCTCTGGGTGGTTGGCACGGAGCCTTTGATAAACGCTGTCAGAAAATTGTGTTTCTGTAGCCTTTGTAGAGTCTCAATTACCAAGAGCCCCGCAAGAAGCATGTGATGTTTGAATTTTTAAAGAGCATTTCTCACACACTAATCCTCCCTCCTGTATCTTCTCTCTTTCGCAGTTGAAAAAGGGCTATGAAAAGACAGTACTTGAGATCAACACACCAAAGGTGGAACAGGTGCCATTTGTGGACATCATGTTCAACGATTTTGGCGGTTCCACGCAGAAGTTTGGATTCGAAGTGGGGCCTGTCTGTTTCATCGGCTAAGACTTTTTACTGAGCAAAATGGAGAAAAAAAAGCATATTTTTGTTTTCTCAGAAAAAAAAACGATTGAAAAAAGAATAGGACAATTCTATTTGTAAAAAAGTAACTTTTTTTTCCATAAAGCAACAAGTATGAGTAAAATGAAATCAAGTTGAAAGTACAGTGAAATTCTGAATAGAGGAAAACCGAAATAACCTTGAAACCTCAGTGTGCCTTCTCCATCACATGCAAGTTTTGAAACTGGATGTCAGATCCTGCCTTCTACACAGCACACTCGCACACACAACCTAGCCCCACGCCATCACACTTGATTTTGACTTTCTTTTGTCCCAAACAACGAAGGCGACCCTGAGAGCTGCAGCCGTTCCAGACGGTCGCAGTATTTGCCATGGACTCCATCTGATTTGGCTCTTTTCTTCTCTTTAGTTTTGATCTCATGTTTTCCCTCATCTCCCTGGCTTTTTCCACTTGTCTTTTTGTTGGTTTGTTTGCTCATTCACTACGGGAGCTTCGTTTGTGCATAATTGTCTCCCCATTCTCTTGGAATGGACCTTATATATATATATAAATATATATAAATGATTTTTATGTTTGTAAGTACATTCTGTATATTTTTCCTGGTAATTTTTATTGCTTCTGGCTTCAAAACATGCATGTGACTTTATTAATTGTGAGGTAGGAGACCATAGATACGGGGATAACATCTCAAAAAGTGTCGAAACAAAGCGAGGAAATTCGACTTGTAAATTGAAAGATGAAAAAGCAAAAACAAAAAAAAACAAAAAAAACAAAAAAAAAAATTGGTAAGTCCTGTCTTTTTTGCAGTTGTGGAGCACACCTTGTTGTAATTTAAGAACGGAATGGAAATAAAAGACGAAAACAAGCTCTGTGATACTATGTGACAGTTGATTTGCAAACAAACAGAAAAAAATACATTCCTCCTTTTGTGCCCTCTGAACTGAACACCTACCTTGGTGGCGATATCATTAACTTAATAAACAGCTTCTGTATTTTTATTTTGTTTTTTCCTGAAATACTCATCTATCTGACTATGCAGTGGGAGATGATGTCACATTTTAATGAGAACACAAAGAAATCAAAACCTAGGTGCTATTTTCTCTCTTCTGTGGTGCTATGTATTTTTCTAGTTTGTGTTGTTTGAATGAAAGAAAAAAAATTGTAGCGATAATACTCCATCACCGGCAGCCCCTTGACTCGCTTAATCACCGCGTCTGACGCGGGTGGACCTTCGCTGCATCCTTTTAGTTTTATTTTAATGTTCAGTGGTGGTATTTGCATGCCATTTCTCCACATATCCACTCACAGATCAGTGCAGCATGGCGCCGTATGTTATCTTCTGCTTCAGCGGACTGCACAGATAAGAAAAAACGTGTCCGACGCTTGTACCAAATGTTGGAACATCGAGAGGAAACTGAGATGGTGCTGTTGGCTTTGCATATCGTTGCTTTGTGACGCTGCAACATTTTTTTTCTTTCTTTTTTTTTTTTTTTTTTTGGCTCTTGCTGTCAGATCAATCTGTGCCACATCAAACTAATGGAGTTGAAAAGTGGACATGTTGTGATTGGGCCAAAGGGATATGGTCCAAAGTTTTGTTTGGTGTACGAGACCCTAAACCCTTCCACCAAAGGTTTTATATATCTAGCTTTAAGTGGCTTGACGTGGCTTAAGATCGTTTTTATGTGTGTGGGGAAACAACTTGAAAAGTTCTTTTTCTTGATTTAACCACAGTAGAAGTCACCAAATTAGCCGGATGGAAAAAGTTTGATCATGCAGCGTCAAAAAAAAAATTGCTTGTTGGTCTACTATTTTTTGCCCTTATTGTAATAATGCTCTTTGTTCAAACTATGCACTCTCTATGCTTATGACCACTAGTATCTACCACAGAATTTTTACAGCTCTTCATACATAGGTTTGTTTTGTTTCCCTTTTTTTTTTAAATCTTAAAATATGTGACTTGAACCATTTCTGTTAAGATAACTCAATATGCTTGTAGATCTTTGGCTTTATTTTTCATTGTGATGCAGTACACCCAAATTTAACGCTCTCAATAAAAACGGACAAACAGATTTTTTGTAAATTTCCAGAACCAGCAGTGATGCTGCCATTGTTTTTGTTTCTTTTTTTTTTTTNTTTTTTTTTTTTTTTTTTTTTTTTTTTTTTTTTTTTTTTTTTTTGGTTTATTTTGTAGATTTTCGTTTGTCTGTCTGTTTTTTTGTTTGTTTTCACAGTCTTGTCAAACCTGTGTAAGGATAAGAGGATAGAAGATATATTGGTTTTTATGTCAATAAATTCAAGTTTACTGTGGCCATCCACTCTTGTATGTCTTTTGAAGCATTAAAACCTATCTGTATGCATGAAATTGTAAAGTTTTTTCTCTTGTTATAATTTTGTAGCGTGACATGATCTCCAGTCCACGTTTTTACTCATCAGGATACATCAGTTTTTCAATGAGTCATGTCCACAATTGTGAAGTGGAGAGAAAATGATGAACTTGTAACTCTACCAAAGCCAATGTTCGTTTGTAGTATATTTATTGTATTATTTAAAATAAAAAAATAAATGTTAAATGATACCATAGTGTAAGTGTAAGAGGCCCCCTCTTTACATGCACACAGGAGAACAAAATTTACTGTCAAAGGGTTATTAATATGCTATTTTTTTTTGACACAGAATAACAATGCATTTGGCCACATCCATTTAAATCACCATGTTTTCTTGTTTACAACATGTTGGCTGCTTGTGTGTGTGTGTGTGTGTGTGAGAGAGAGAGAGAGAGAAGAGAGAGAGAGAGAGAATGTGTCTAGGGTTGAATGAGCCACAACATTAAAAACACCAGCAGGCCAAGTGTATGACATTGATCACCTCTTTACGATGCTATGTTCTGCTGGAAACCTTTGGTCCTGGCTATTATGTGGATGTTGCTTTGACACCTGAACACTGCTGCAGACCACGCAAACCCCTCGAGGGCAACCACACTTTCCGACAGGACAATGCACCCCACCACACCATAAAAACTGCTCAGGAACCGCTGCTTGAGGAACCCGACCAAGAGTCGTGCATCCAAACACCCCAGATACCAATCAAACTTCCATGGATGCTCCAAAACAAAGGATCCAAAGGATTTGCTGCCAACATCCCAGTGCCAGATTCTAAAGGATACCCTCAGAGGTCCTGTCTCCAAGAATCAGGGATGTTGTGGTGGCACAACTGGAAGCCTTTGCAATATTAGCCAGGTTTTAATGTTGTGGTTGATGAGCGTAAATAGTTTATTTGCTTAATGAATGACTGGATGACTGTTTAAGCTACATAACAGGGGAGGTTATCACGATCTGTTTTAATAGTTTCAAACAATTCTAGCTCCACAGATACTTCACAAGAGGGAAGAGTTCAGCCTGCATTTGACCACACCTGCATTCATCCGTGGATAATTCCCTGCTGACACCTCCAACAAACACCGGCTTCATGGCTAGGCATTTTTGGACAGCTAATGTATGTACTTCTATCACTTCCAGCTCATTTTTCTACCCTGCTTGCAATTTATGATGAAACGCAAAAAACAAAACAACAAAAAAAATCCGTATTATCCGCTGTGTGTATTCCATGCAAGCCTTCTTCAGCAATCATTATAATAAAAGATGTGTTTTAACCCTGTCCTGCACCACTAATTTCAATAATCTGCAAAGCTTTGATCAAAACCGTGGTGGTGGAGATGACTTGCAGTGTCTCATTAAAAAAAAGAAAAAAAAACTTGCACAGTGTGCATTTAAGCCTAGCGCTGCAAAAAAATAAATAAATGAAAAGTTGTTCTGCATGATACCGTGATCAATATTTAATGCAGTGTTTACAGGATTTAGAACGATCAGAATGCATGGATTCTACTGAGGCAGCATCTTGGGTGAGTAAAGCAGAAACCAAAGCGAAAAGTTAATTCCTCATCTAAGCACAGAAGTGCGCACAATGGCAGCAGTGGTAAGTGGGGCATGGAAGTGGGTTGAGGGATGAAACAAGGCAGGGATTTAGCTCCCTCCAATTATGGCAACAGGTGATATGTCAACAGACTACAACAGCACCCGAGTGTAAGAGGCTTGTGAGACACTTTGGAAGGGCAGATTGAGGATGTGCTGAGATTTAGGTGGAGGAGGAAGGGATCAGTTTGAGAAATGCAAATGCGCTCGGAGCGATGCAGCATTCGAGGGAATTTATAGGGAAGAAAATGCATCACCAAATGCTTAATGTATCAGGTAAGATTTGAGCAGCTCAAGTCAAACAGCTCAGAGATGAAACAGGAAGTACTTAGAACCTTTACCACCGGTCATCAAAACTCGACTTTTAAACACTGAAGGGTTATCATCAGCAAAATGTACGGAAAGTAAAAGTAATCACTCAGCAGAAGAACGTCCCCTGTGAGCAGTTGTGGAAAGTAACTGAGTACATTTACTCAAGTAGCGCACTGAAGTACAATTTTGAGGGTACTTTAGTCAAGTATTTTCATTTTATGCTACTTTAAACTTCCACTCCACTACATCTCAAAAGGAAATGTTGTACTTTCTGCTCCACTAGATTTAATTCACAGCTTTACTCTGACTTTTAGGATGGACAAGTTATTCAAATACAGCACACTCTCTAAACTAGTGGTCTCCAACGGTTTTGGCTTCTTACAAAAAGCAGTGTGAAGTCAGGCCACTGTTTGAGATGTTTATGAGTTGTAATAGTAATTGTGATTTTATTGGTTTCTCTATAAATTCTTACATGTTTTAATTTCGATAAATGACCCCATATCTCACCACATATCAAAGCTTAGAGAAGAAGCAAACTGAAAACAGAGTTGTGTATCATAACTTTAATGCCGGGCTTTTACCCGCAATGCACTCTTGCTAAATTGACTTATAGGTACTTTTACTTAAGTAAAGGATCTGAAGGCTTCTTCCACTGCTGCCTGGAAGCAATATATTACATTAGAGCTGTAGCTGGTGGAGCTGGCTCTACTTTGTAGACATTCAGTAGTACAGCAATTTCCAACTAACCTGTGACATCTGATGACACTAGATTTAAAAAAAATATATCACTGTAACAGTACTGCAAACAGCAAATATGACCCCGGGCCCCCACGAGATGCTGTTATTTCTATAATGTAAAGATCTAGTGGCTTATTCTATGATTCAAGCGGATGTTTTTTGTTTTTGCTCTAATCTTAAAGAGCCCATACTATGCCTTTGGGGGATTTCTCTTTTCTTTAGTGTGTTATAGCTTATTGTGCATGTAAAAGGTCTGCAAATTGACAAAGCCAAAAGTCAGTGCCGATGGGAATTCTTCTCTCCCACAGAAAACACTGCTCCTTACTTATGTGAAACGCCTGAACTCCAGGCTTTTCCACAATTACTTATTCACATCAGCATGTAATGTATTTACATACCGCCTACCTAGCAGCTAGTTTTGCTCTAAAAGAAGAAAATGAGCAGTTTATCACAGTTCATTACTAAATCCTCACTAGAGCTGCATCCACTAGGTCTTCATCTCTACGCTCAGAGATCTGGGTTTACAGGATGTACCCAACATTGTTTGGCTTTCGTCAGGCCAGCTGACCAATCACAGCAGGCTGGGTTATTTTGAGGGTGCTCTTAAAGAGACGGGAGCTAAAACAAAGTGTTGCAGACAGAGGGGGACAAGAAGTGCTGCAGCAAATTTACAGCATGAGAAATAATGTATTTTTTGAACATCCATCCAGTCATTATCTACACACCGCTTTATCCTCTGTAGGGTCAATGGGGGGCTGGAGTCTATCCCAGCTGACTCAGGGCGAAGGCAGGGGACAGACAGATGACAGCCAAATAAAGAGACAGACAACCAAGCACACTCACATTCACACCTACGGACAATTTAGAATCAGCAGTTAACCTCAGCATGTCTTTGGACTGTGGGAGGAGGCCGGAGAACCCGGAGAGAACATGCAAATACCACGCAGGCAGAGATTCACACCCAAGGCCTTTTAGCCGTGACACGACAGTGCTACCTTCTCCACCGTGCCACTCATGTTTTGAACATTAAGCATGTAAACACATTCTTGTACACCCACAAAACAAGATTATGAACCTGTAAATGTGAATAATATGGGCTTTTTAATCTGAAAAGCATGACTGCCTTCAGATAAATGGAGTGTAGTGTTTTTTAAAACAGAAATACTCACATACGTAGCACCTAGTGTGCACTAGATATATGTGTGTACTGTTACAAAAGGAAGCAGTGTGTTTGAGGTGTACCTCCATTTAACTCAAATGTTGTCAGTTAACCAATCAAAAGCTTCCAAAGCCATGACATCATCATCTGGACTTTCCCAAATAGTTAGAAGACATAGTAATCTTAGTGTATGAAAACTTCTGATTTTAAAGAAAGAAAAAGAAAAAAAAATTTCTCTAAAAAAAAAAAAAAAAAAATATCGCATTATTCTGACAGAGCAACATGTCAGAATGTCTAACATTTTCTAGCAAATAGAAATAATTTTGGTAATCCTAACTGACCTAAAACAGGAAAAGTTTAGTTGGATTTAATGTCAGACAGCGAGAAAAAAAAAGTTATGTGTCTTTTTATACAGTGTATGTAAACTTCTGGATTCAATATACAGGTATTCTATATACCATAAACAAATTCTCTGACTGCTTTTCAGTTTAAAATGATAAACCACCCAATATGTTTATTTACTGCTGACGAGCAATCTGGGAGATTTTAAACAGACAGCACTTTTCTTTTTTTAATCATCAGAACATTTGATTTATTGATTGCTGTGAGGATATAAAGACACTTTCAACCAATATGCTCCTAAAGATGCTGGCTTTAAGCGCAGACATTCTGTAGTGCAAAAAGTCATCAGGAACCTTTGCACAGATTTTAAAGAAATGGTAAATAAAGAACATGAGGCTTGGGATCAACTAAAGTAGCAGCTGAAACTAAAGAGTCTAGTTGGAACAGATGGATGAACAGTGTTTGGTGTACTATGGATTTATTATTGACATTTTGTGTGTTACTGGTACATTTGGTGACAAAGAGCGTCTCTGTCTGGGACGACCCCAGGACATTTCTGAGGCAGCACAGAAGAATAGGACACCAATCAAAATCCAAACACACTATTAATGTGTTTCTGGATGTCGTTAATCTGGTCCCAGCTGCTGTTATTTGCCTTCTCTGTTCTATGATTGCCGAGCAAGTAAGAACTGGTGTGTGCAACGGTGGTTTCTGTGGGCTGAGGTTAGGGCTTCTTCTCCAGTGTCATGACTGCCCCTATCAATAATTTAATTGATGGTGGTTCTAAAAATACTATTACACATCTATTCACACCTTTTATACAGCACATGAAAGGTTAATTATTATTAAATGTAAAAAAGTGCTGTTAATGTGTGGTCTTGGCTGGCGGAGGAAGAGCTGAGGGGTCAAGTGGCACACATTAAAACGGAAATTCGGGACGGAGCCCCGGTGTTAATGTGTAATTGCTTTGAGCCTGTGGATCTTCGGTTAACAGAGTCCATTCATAGCCAGGCCCCGGCACCACTGACCTACTTACATACGAATCAGATAGTAGAGAGAGA